TTGGACTGGGGGGGAAGGGAGCACTTCCCACACAGGTTTGCCTTGCCAGAAAATGCTAATTTTTTAATTCAGAATTAGTAAGAGACAGTCAGATTCACCCAACTTTCACCTTCTAAAAGTTAGGCTTGTAATTAAGGTATCATTAAATTCCTTCACTGTTGAGTGAAGAGGAGGCATCTCCACTCAGGGGTTCATTTTGCTTGTCTTGAATAAGATGAATCATGCTCTTTTTCCTTCTGCTTTCTCTTTCTCCCTTCCTTTCCTTTTCTCTTTCCTTCTTCCTCCCTTCCTCAGCACTGTAGAAGCAGACAAGACAATTAGCTTCAATCAGGTACCCAACTTTCAAGATAGCTCAGGTCAGCGAGGTGAATCTCACCTAAAAGGCAGGAATGGGAACCAATATTTGCTTCCACTGAAGAGCCCTTCCCAGGATACCAAATCTGAGGTTTCATACCTGTTGTGAATTGGGAAAAAAAGTGTTATTTGTGTGCATGTACCATTTTAAAATAACAGTGTGAAAGAAGGAGGAGGAACAGAAAAATCCTTTCTCTACCCCAAGACAATTAATTCACTAGGAACAAACATTTCATTCAGACACCTCAATGGGGAGGAAGAAACTTCTGTCTTTGGAAAATAATTTTTTCTTCTGAAAAATGTGTTCTTCAGGGTGGACTGGTAATACACTTTGCTGTGTTGAGGCTCAGTGTGTTTCTGTTTAAATGACAGAACTGGGGAAAAGGATGCCCTGTGCTTTACTTGGCTGCACAGCCCTGAATTGAGTCTGCCCAACAAGTCAGAAGGGAAGAAATTCAAGATTATGATGAGCTCGTGCAGAGCATTCCCTCACAAACACAGAATTGGATTTTCTTCCTTCTCTCCTGCTCAAACTGGACAAGGACTAAAGCAACATTTCATGGTGCAGGAATTAACAAAAAGGGAGAGGCTGTCTAGAGGGTTTGGTTGGAGGAGGAAGCTCCAAAAAGGCAGGCAAACCCAGTGAAACTGTTCCAGGTTTGGGGAACAGGAGGGAATAAGGCATATTCTTGTGTTTCAGGTGCCAGGAAAAGATGTCATTTCGTGCTGTCTCTGGTTGTGTGGTAGGCACATTCCCTAGGAGTGAGGTGGAGGCAGTGTGTTACTGCAGCATACCAGAGCTGCTTCAGGCAGCTGCCATGTGCAGACAGTGCATGGAGGAAGAGGAAAGGTTCAGGGGGTAAAAAGAGGGGTCTTTTCCCTGTGATACTTGGGCTCAAGTTCCTGTTCTGTCTGATTTTGAGCAGATGAGAGTCCACACTCCTTTTTCCTGCTGTCAAATGAGGATCATCTGACATTGCAGAAGGGAAGTCTGGTGATAGCACAGCTCCAAGTGAAGGCCCATAGACTGAGAGGTGGTGGTGGGTGTCAGAGGCCCTCTCCTGTGGAGATGAGCTGGTGTGACATCAGTCTGTAGGGATTGCTGCCTCCAGCCCTTGAATGGTCCCTTCTTTCTCTCAGGACCTGTTTCTGTAGCAGCTTGTTCTGTGCCTGCAGTGGGTCTTGGAGCATGAGCTCGCATTTGTTGCTCTTGGTGGTTTGGTTGGGCTTTTATTCCTCCTCATTGCTGCCTTTGGCACAGGACATCCTTGGTAGTATTCTGGAGCACTGTTATTTCAGGGTGTGAAAGAGTCTTAGGCCTTTAATCTGGGAATACAAACTACATCTGTCACCTGGGTATCTGTGGCGGTTTCTAAGCAACCACAAGAGTTTATTTTTTTCTGCAATTCATATTTAAGAAATAATTTGCTCATGCATGAACCAGAATCAGCCTGAGCACCACCCCAGGAGACAGAAATTGTAAACTGTAATTTAGGCTAATTCTAGTCTAAAACATGAATTAGAGTATTTTATGTAATCTTGAAAAATATACCATATAAATAAATGTAAGCACAGAACAGGTACAATTAATTTGAGCACAGTAGGAAGCTTTAAGTAACTCTGGGAATGTGAGAAACCAAGTCGGAACATATTCTTGACATGTAAAAATATTTCCCACCTGCCTTGTTTGCATAAGAACAAGGTTTTAGCAAGTACATATTTGCATGTCAAAGTTAAAAGTGGGGAAAATATTTTCACCCTTGTAAGAAAAAATGCATAATCTTGGCGCAGGCAATTTGCATTTAGTGAGTTTAAAGTATCTTTAAGTCCTTTCATGCTCTGTGGAAAGTGTATGAACGTGACAGGGGTTCCATTTCAATGAGTGCATTTGCACAGGCCCCACGTGGAGCAGTAATTGATCTGATCTCTCTGTGCATTCATTTCTACTACAATTGGTTGTGGCAGTCCCGAGTGAGTTCTGCTGCCGAGATCCAGCCACTGGCCTGTGTCTGAGTGAAACAGGAACTTGGAGTTTTAAATGCTCTGTGCCTGATTGAAAGGAAGTACCTTGAAGATGTAAATTTGAGTACCTGATTTGGTGCCGTTGCTCATACAAACGATGGTGGGTAAATGCTGGCACAGCTGGAGCCTGTGAATCTGTGGAGATTCTCTTCTGCCAGTAAAGCACCCTGGAAAATGCATTTGGGACTAATTATGGCACCTTTTAGACTATTACTAACCTAGCTTTAGGCCATCACTTTGAAGGCATGTTACATTCCTTCAGAAACCCTCTGCAAATGTCCTGTTGCTTAAGAAATAGGGATTGCATAGACAGGCTTCATGGGTGATTTAACTAACGTGCTGGAGATTGTAGATAAACCAGATCCAATTATATCATACCTCTTCAAAATAAGGCAGTAATTATGTATATAAATGGGAAATGTAAAAAATACATTGCCATGGAGCTGTGGAGATAAGCCTTGTCAGTGCCCTGTCCAAGGAGCTGCACAAGGCTGCTGATTCACTGCAGCACAGCAGAGAAATAATCCTGTGTTGGAAAGGCACCACTGGGATTTGGTAGAGCTATTCTGGAATTTGCCCACAGGATTGCTCTCTGAATTTGAACTGCACATTGTACAAATCCTGAGTTTCTGTGGGTTTCAGCCTGTTCTTCAGTCTGTGGATGTGAGGGGGGGTTGTGCCGCCCTTTCTGCTCCAAGCTTTGTTCATAAACATATGATGCCCCAGTAATAATTTATGTAACACATTAATGAAAGAGCACACACGTTATTTTCCCCTTTTATTAGTTCACTTCCTGCTCCATTGTGTTTAATGTGTTTGCTGAGAGCAAAGTGAACTAAAAACCATTTTGGGGGAAGAAGTGTTTCCTTCCTTAAGTGTCCTAAACAGACCTTTTGATTTCAGCCTGTGGGTTTGTCACTGCAAGGACGGTGGGGGATCAAAGGTCAGGAATACAAAGGTCCTTACAATGGAAGGAGGTGCAAGTGGTGTCCTGCTGTATGAAAATATCCTGAAAGCTGCAGTGAACTGCAGTGTAGTCCATGGCTGTTGGGCACTGCTTTCCCCAGCAGACGTTTCAGCTGCTCTTGGATTCCTGGGAGCAAATAAGTCCCATTTGGGTGCCACTCAGCTGCCCCCATCATTGCACTTGGTGTCACCTGGAGAATGTTTTGAAGGAATATTTCAGCACAGTCAGTGCTGTGGTACAAGTCTTGTGCTCTCCTGCTTTATAGTTATCTTATGGTTTGGGCCAGATCCTGAGCTGCAGTGAACTGGAGCACACAGGAGCACTGCAAGATGATTCTTATTTAATATTAAGCAGCCAGTTAGGGATTTAATAGCATGTAAAATGCAGTGTTTTTAAGAGCAGACATGAATTTTTGAAAACAGTGTTGAGTACAACTGAAGTTAAGCTGCTGCACTGTAAGACAGTAGCATTAGGTGGGATTTTATGTGTTGTCATAGCCTGGATAGCTAAACTGGATGAAATAGCAGCTCTCTTGAACAGGCAGGCAGCTGGTGACTGGATTTCAGTTCCTCAGGAGATGAACAGCACTTGCTAACGTGTCACAGCTCCGGACACAGCACGAGGGGTGTTTGTCCTGCTCAGACCAGGCCGGGTCAGGGCACTGCTGCAGCCTCGCCCCGACCCCACTGCGGCACAGGGGGGCTGTCCTGGGCTCTCCAGTCTCTGCCTGGAGCAGGGGGTGTTTGTGAGCACAGCCAGGCACATGGGAGATGTAGGCTGCTGCTATTCCATAGGGTGAAGCAGTGCCTTACACAGCCCTGTCCAAACAGACTTGCCAGTAAAATACTGCAGCCAGGGACTCCAAAAGAGTTCCTGGGCATAGAGGAGTCCCCTCTTAATCCTCCATGCTCAGATGGGAAGGTGCTTGATTTAGAGATAATCACACAGCGAGTTGAGTTCAGTAGGTGTGTTCATATGGATGGATTTCAATACAGAAAATGAGGGCTTTCACACCTTACAACTGCCCAGCATTTCCAGGCTGTGCGACTCCTCTGGCTGCAGTGAAGGGACTCAGTGCTGCTGTGTGTGCTCCCCCCTCGCTTGTTCTGTGGGGCAGCACACACAAATACGTGCTGATGGTTCCCTTGCTGCTCAGATACAAAAGTTATGGATTTTTCATGCAAAATGCAGTTGCTCTTCACCTTGTTCCCCCCCTTTAGGACTGGCCATGGGAGCTGAGTGGCCCCTCTGGGAAAAGTGGTGCATTTGATTCCAGGCAGGGCAAACTTTAAAATTGCCTGCTATGATCTCACATGAATGCGATTGGAAGAAACCTTTCTAGTGTCGTCTTAGCTCTTTGGCCAAAATGTGAACTCTCCTACTCTTTTTGGCTTTGAAATGCTGATTCCAGCCTTCTTGTGGGTTCTTAAACACCTTCTCAAATGACCCATTTTAATAACCCAAAAGCTATTATATAACGAGCAGCCATAATTTAGTCCAAAGCTCTAGGGGATCCTTGCAGTTCAGCAATGAATAGTTAATGCAGTATAATGTTTAGCAGGTTATTAGTTTTCACTGTACAAATGCTGATCAGGGAATGCTTTTATAAGGTGTTTAAAAGAAAATGTAATTAACTGGTTGCGTGCTTCTGTTGCAGCTCAAATTGAAATTATTCCATGCAAGATCTGTGGAGACAAATCATCAGGAATCCATTATGGTGTCATTACATGTGAAGGCTGCAAGGTAAGCTTCTAAAATATTAAGTCTGAAAACAGCACTTAGCCTTTTGATAGTGATTATTTTCCTTCCTTTTTTTAAAGAGCAAGCATTGGGCCTAAGTAGGATCAGTGGATTCCATTTCAAAGAATATAAAACTGTTGGGGATTCTGAAGCACTGGTTTTATTTGGGTTTTAAATAGTACATTTCTGTGACACACACACCTGCACTGCCACAGCTTTCAGGACAATCCTCAGACTCACAGTTGTGCTGTGTGTGCTGTAAACTGCCTTTCTCTGAGTCAGCAGAACAGGGACAGGAGGATGATCTGCTTCAGGCAGAGCAGCAGGAGTCAGCTCAGTGGGCTCAGCCGAGGGGGAGTTGGGCTTTCTTGCCTCTCCCTCTCTGCTTTTGCTTTGTAAACTGTATGAAGCTGTGCTGAAATAGGTGAGAGCTCTCTGCCCCTCTGTTTTGGTTTGTACTCAGCTACAGTTACAAATCCATTCTGTTTGGCAGGAGGTGGTGTTTCCATGCCCCTGGTGTTCAGCAGGCTCAGGTCCTGCAGGAAGCAGTGCCTGTTCCCTGCAGTACAACCACTGCTGCGTGAGGTTTGGGCTCTGGATTTTGTCCTGGAGCTGTACCTTGGTAACTCTAGTGAACAAGGGTTACACCAGCAGCATTTCTATTTTCTTCACAAGCAGGAATTAAACTGGGCAATGGCCAGGTGAGAGTGAAGTGGTCAGTCCTTTTGCTCACCAGTGCACCCCCTGGCTTGGGGTGACACAGTGTGCACAGCCAAGCTCCAGCTTGTTGCTCTCTTTGTGTACATGTTGCAGTCCCCTGCTGGTAGGTTTTCTCCTGTTAATCTACACTTCAGGGGTGAAGAATTTATGACAGTTTTTAGTCTGCTCTCCTGACATGTTTGATACCACAAGCCCTTCTTCTCTGCACTCACATTATAAAGATTTCTTCTGTGGTTTTCCAAAGGTTTTTGTGTTTTCAGTAGCACATTCTCTGAGTCTCGTGGAAGTATCGGTAAGAAGGAAGGAAAAAGAATACATTGAAGAATCTTAGAATGATGTGGGAAGAGCACCTTCTGCCCTTTCTGACTGCTGTTGCTATGGAAAATGCAAGAAATGCACTTAAAATGTATTGATAACAAAGTGATGACTTTTTGCAGGTTTATGTGGCTGAGCAGCCTTTATCAGATGCCAGCTGAGGGAAGTGGCAGACGTTTGCAGGAGAGTTCTGCTGTGGGACTGTCTTGTCAAAGGAGATCCAGTTGTGTTCAAGGTTCGAGACCTCTTTAATCCTTAGGTGGTCTGGGACCTGGATACGTGAGAGGCTGCCTGGAGATCCCTGGCAAACATCCTGGCACACAGACAGGGCTTGGTGTGGTGCTCTTGGGCCTTCTCCACACGGCTGTGGTGGAGCAGGAGTGGCTGCTGAAGGACAGGAATGGAAAGGAAGGGAAAGGGAAAGGAAAGCTGCCAGCCCTGGTATCCTTTGTGTGGTCCTCATGCAGCTCTTCAGCCTGGCCTTCCCCTGAGGGCTGAGTGAGCAAAGCCCCCTCCAGAAGCAGCAGGAAAGGGGGGGAGCAGCCCCTGTGCTCACACTCCCCTTGGGGAGGAGGAGCTGGCAGGCCCTGGGCACTGCAGGTGGGAGACAGGGCTGTCCATGGAGCATTCCTCCCTTGGAGGGACTGCTTTCCTGGGAATAAATGCAAATGTGAGTTATTAGGAGAAAGGTCCTTTGTGCAGCAGTCAGAACAACAGATGCCTGCTGATAGTGAGGAATGTGTGTGCAGCTCCTTACGTGTTAGAACAAAGGATTTGCCTTTGAATGCTGGATAAATTGCAGGACTGAGGATCCCACTGGCATGGTCAGCTGGTGGGAAGGGCAGAGGGCAAGGCAAGCAGGCAGGTGTGCTCAGCACACTGAAACACATCTGGACCTCAAGGCAGAGTGTGCTAAGGAAAACAGTGGCCCATGAGTTTGGCATTTTCTCCCTCTCTTGGAAGAGCACAATAAAGTTTGGTGGCCATACAATTTCAGGCAGAATTTAAAAGCCAATGAATATCAACTTAGTTAACTGAGTTCTTTTCCTTTCAGGAGAGAAATAACTCTGCAGCTCAGTTGTCTTAGTGCCAGAGCCCAGATGACCTGCAGGTAGTGACAGACAGGGCAGTGCTGGTGGGCACAAGTCACAGCAAGAGTTGAAATGATCGTGACCTAAACGGCACTAAAAGGCCCCACTGTGGCTGATGGATTCTGTTTGTGCTACACCTTTCCACAGTAATGTCAACAAAGTCTCACCCAGCAGAACTATTTTGGCTGGTGAAAAGGTTGGCATAGCTTGGCTTCTGCCAGAGGAGCCAGGTGTGTGTTGGAATGGGTTTTTTTCCCAGCTTTTCTGTGGCTGTGACTGCTGCAGGTTGGAGCACGTTTCCATTGCTGTTCATGTTCTGCTGAACCTTCCTCTGGAACAAGGACTTGGCTGTGAAGACCCGGTCCCAGTGCTGTGCTCTGGCTCTGGAGCCAACATCCTGCACCCACAGTCCCAGGGCAGCCAGGGGGGTCCTGCCCCAGTGCCCCAAACCCCCCCATGGGTTGGGTGGCGGGAGCAGGGCCTGAGCTGGCAGGAGGGAGCAGATGTGCTGCTGCCCTCTCAGACCCAGCCTGGCAGGGGTGACCTACAGGCAGCAGCAGCAGCAGCAAAGTGGGGCCTTTTCAAAAGCTCCTGCTGGTTTTCACTCCAGTTTAGTGTGGACTTCAGTGTTACTCAGTAGTAACATTAACTGAAATGTTACTGTGCAAATACTAATAACCACCAGAAATAGAATTTATTTAAAACTTAAAGTGAAGTTTTAGTTGCGAAGACATACTTTGCAGTTCTAATCTGTATGTGTGGAATCACAGACCAGCTCAGGTCAAATTGCCTGTTGCTGATCCTGTTGCTCTACTGCAGGTTGGCAACCCTTGCATTTCACAGAGTTGAAAGTTTCCTGACCTTTTTTTTTTTTTTTTGTTATATTGCATTTTACATAAGTAGAATTGAAGATTTGTAATGAAACCCATTAGTGTTTTTCGAGAAGTTTTCATTTCCTACCTTGCTGTGATGTTGCTGGCTGTTTTTATGAAGTTAGTGGCAGTGTTTTGCACAAGCACCATTGAGTGCTCCCAACCCATCAGCCTATTTAGCTGAGTTTGAATATGCCTTTAAAAAAAAAAAAATTAACACCTCTCCTCCCCACAAGTGAAAAATTAATTTTTTTAGCCAGGCTGTGTTTTACACTTTATCTAGAAGGGCTCCTGTGGCTTATTGTAGATAAAATAAATTTTAAAAGAGAGGGTTCTTTTTCTCTCTGACCATTGCTGATATCCAGTATACAACATATGATGGGGGGAAAAAGGAAGATGAGATTAATCATATAAAGATTTTACTCAGAAGCATGGATGAGGAATGACACAAAGACTGTGCCACAACTCAGAAATAGAAGTCTGTTCTCCTGTGTCAGACTGGGAATACTGTGTTGTAGGAGCACTACTGAAAAAGCTGGCATCTGTATGGAGCACCTCCTCAGCCATGAGCTGTGGGAACCCGTTACCAACCTTTATTCTGTAGGAGGGACTGTGCTGGGAAAGGAGAGTGGTTTGTACACATCCCTACTCTTTTCTCAGAGCTGAAAGTGGAATCCAGTTCCACGTTGTCAGAAAATCCCTGAATGTTTCAAGGGACATAGCAAGGAATTTAGTTGGAAATGAACCTTTTGTGAATGACCTGTGTAATTTAACTGGATTCCCAGGTGCAGTGCCTTGCCTTTGCAGTCAGCAGCGTTGGTTCATGCCCACCTGCCCCACGAATGCATGGTGGGATCCCTCTCTTTACCTGACTGCACAGCTGGTCTTGCAAAGCCACCATGCAGGGCACTCCTGGGCACTTCTCGTGCTCTCAAAGGTTTATCGGTGCTGGCTTTTGTCTCTTGTGTCTTTTAAGACCCAAGATGATCTTCTTCACTGTTCCTGCAAAGAACATCTGGGTTCATTACTGCAGGAAACAAGACCTGGTGTGCTGTCCCTGCCCTTCTTGCCTCACTCCTGTCTTTATTACCTGTGTAAAACTGAACATTTTTGCTCTGTTTTCAGTGGCACTATACCTTTGTTATCAAATATTTTATTAACATAGTTTATTAGACAATATTGTCACAGTGCTCTCCTCCCTTTACAAGTAAAATATTTGCTCATTTTTGTAAAAGGGTTAAAAATGCCATTTGAATGTTGGCCTATTACAGTGTATTTTTCTGATGTTCCTTTGAAGAAAATTTGTGGTGGTTTGCTTTGGAAAACAGTAAAAGGATGACTCCCCCCCAACTAATTGTTAATTGCTCAGAATATTGCAAAACTTAATGATACGTGGAAGTCTTTAAGTATTAGCCATAAATCATGGGATTATGAATAAGCCTTTGTTGTCACAGACTCACACACAGTCATTCCAAACCCTCTGCCATTAGGATGCAGCAAGGCAGCTGTCAGCTGTTTTCTTGTAATTAAACAGCCAATGAGCAGCTAATTAAGACATATGTGTATACAGAAGTGGAAGTGGGTATGTTAATGAACTGTAGGAATCAATTCATTAAATGAAAATTTGTCAAAAGACCAAACATGAGCTCAGCGTTGCAGGCTGAGCCGGTGGAGGGGAGCTGGGCTGGGACACGGGAGGCTCGGCTGGGTGAGGAGCAGCCCAGACACAAACCCGGCACTGAAGGGACTGAAACTATTAATAGACTTCGCAAAAACTGCTATTTACATTTCAAAGGTCCTTTTTAACAAGTTGTTATTCAAGCTGACTCGCAGATGAAAAGTTCTTGCGCCCTCTTTTTTCCCCCAAACCTGATTTCTTGGCAGCCCATGAAAACCCATAGGTTGTGTTGTGTATAAATAGGAGTCTGAATCGCAGAGAGGAGCCGGGGCCTGTGACGTGCTCTGCTCTTCTCCGGCACCGCGTTCGTGCCGCGGCATGCGGAGGATGCAGCGCTGGGAGCGGAGCCGGCGCTCCGGGCTGGCCCCGCAGAGCTCCCTGCGCTCGGCCGGAGCCGCGGTCGGGGTGTTCCAGCAGCACCTCCGGGTGCAGCGGGGTTTGTTCTGTGGGATCCCGGGGCTGCCCTGCCTGTGGCCCCGGAGGGCCGTGCAGGGCCGGCTGCGAACGCTCGGCCATTAAAGGCACGTGGCCCGGGCTGGCTCGCACAAGGCTCGGTGCATACACGTGCACCAGGCATGCAGCCACCTCCTCCTTCCCGGGGGGAAATCACAGCCAGCTCCCTGCCTCTGGCGGGAGGGAGCGAGGGAGCAGCACAACACAGCGTCTCTCCGTCTCTTCTTTTAATAGAGGGGTAAAACCAACCTGCAGAGAAACTGTATTTACTCCTGTAATAGGGGCTTCCCCCCGTGGCTTACAGTGATGCGAGAGCACAAGGACCACCAGGAGCTTGGAAAACTCACAAGTAAAGGACAGCAATGTGAGAAATCTCTCTCTCGAATTTAGAAAGACGGCAAAAACTTATGAAGCAAAAGGAAGAATTTATTCAGCGCGCTGGGTCTGGTCTCACACCGAGTTTTTTGGGGAGAAAGACCCTTTGGGTTTAATTTTCATACATTGTATAGTTTCACAAAATCCCACCCTTTTTCAGATAAGTTTAAATATGTTCAGTTTTGCCTAAAAAGGTTTCTTTTCTCTGAAAAGGGGCTTTCCCTTCCTTTTGATTGGTTGCGAGGTGTCCCTTGTCACAAAGGATCTTCCTTTGTTCTTAGCCCAAGGAGAGAAGAGAAACCCCTGTGTACAAAATTTCCACATGGCCCTGAAAGATTTTAATTTTTAGGAACTTTTATATTTCCCTTATCTGGCCAAAAAAGACCCTGATACCCAGGTCCAGTTTGGAACTTGGATATCTTACAACTTTGAGATACACTTATATATAAAAAAAGTATTTTATTTCTCATAGCAATGTAGAAAAACTTTGAGAGCAAAAAATCCTCAGTTGACCTTCATTGTAAATTCACTCTCAAATCTCAGATACGTGTGTTTCTGTGCTCTGGACAAGTTTAAATTAGTTTTCGAAGTTTGTGGCAAGGTGGATTTTTTGTTTCTTTAGCTCCTGCTGATCTTTTCATAGGGTTCGTTTTTAAAAGCACTCTACTGTATCTGGTTTGTAAAGTGCAAGTGCTTTTAAAGGCCCCAGTTTCAGGCAGTTCTGCTCTACTGAAAATTTAGCTTGAAGCTGTAACTCAGCTGATACATGGTACACTAAAATGTATTGAGCAGCTGTGTCTCTAGGGAAAATCTGGAAAAGGAAAAAGCCCAGTATTTTCTCCATTATAATACTAAAAATAATCCTCAGCTTGACAAGACTATTCTTAATAAAGAGAAATGCCAGACTGGCAGCTCAGACTCAGTATATATCCCAGCTGAAGGAAAACATTTAGGTCCTGGAGGTTTTAGGACACACTGATTAAGCTGACTCTCAGGATCTCGGCGGTGGCAGAAGAGTTCATGTGGTTCCTCTGTGAGCATGTGATTCAGTGCAACTGAAAAGGTGTTTGGAGAACTGAACTTTTTGGGGACTGATGCAGAACCTTGATCAGTCAGCCCCTGGTCAGCTCAGTCCCTAATCCTGTTTTCCTGGGGAATGGTGTTGCACTTGCCTGTGGACCTGCACTGGAGTGACAGTGTCCATGAAGGTGCTCTCAGAAGTGAAGCTCTCTAACCGAAGAGTTGGTTCCTCCAGAGGGATCAGTTGTGATGTTGGGATGGTAGAAATTTCCACGGTATTTCAGGTTTTCTTTGGGGTGAAATGCACTCAATTGGAGCTCAGTATGTGCTGTACAATCATCTCACTATTGACAAACATGGAAAAACAGCTGAAAGTTCAATCAAACAGAAACAAAGACCAGAATAAAAGGGTGAGAAATAATGTACAGGAAAAGAGAATTGAAGACAGCACCTTGAATTTCCTTCTTTTTTTTTAATACCCCATGTTTCCCCAGTAAAGTTTTAATAAAAGGGGCATAATGGACACAGACTGGTGCCCTCCTCTAAGACGGAGCAGGGGCTTTGTCTCAGTGTTTCCCATGTCTCTGTCTGCAGGCAGTTTGTTGGGAAGTCTCTCCCTTGAGATTTGCCATGCAGAAGCCCTTTCCCCTGTTTGTCTCCCCGGTGTCTGGACAGTGTGCTGTGCCGAGGGACTCCAGCCTGCAGCCCTCGAGTAAATAAAACATTGGGAAAAGTCCAGCTTTAATTAAAAGGTGCCCAGCCTTGCCGAGGAACTATTTTCTTTGCAGCACTGTTAATTAATCCATTATGTGGCAACGTAAAACTGAAATACTGTGCTCACTGATCTCAAGTGCCTCTTTAGAATGACTCCATCTTTGCAGAATCCTTGTGAAGTAGGTATTACACACACACCAGCTTATGTTTGGGCAGTCTGTGGCTAAAGGATGACATGACTTCAAAGCGAGCAGCTGGTGTAGTGGGAATGACACCACTGCTCTGAGGGAGGCAGGAAAGCTGGAGCGGGGTGGAACCTCCCAGCGCTGCCCTCCTTTGGAGATGGGGTTACTCAGCAAACACATCACACACAAAACGTGGGTTGGCTTTCCCCCTCCTTGAGAGTCTAAACCCTGCACCCAGTGGAGCAGAACCTCAGTTGTCAGCACCAAACTGACTCACAAAGTGTCAGCAGTGGGGTGGCCGGGGCAAGGCCCGGCCTGTGCTGGCACTGCCGGGGCACCTCCAGTGCTGGGGCAGTTCTGGGCCCCTCAGGCAGGAGAGGCAGTGAGGGGCTGGAGTGTGTCCAGAGAAGGGACCAGAGCTGGGGAAGGACTGGAGCAGCTGGGGGGGCTCAGCCTGGAGAAAGGGAGGCTCAGGGGAGACCTTCTGGCTCTGCAACCCCCTGGGAGGAGGGGAGAGCCGGGGGGGTCAGGCTCTGCTCTCAGGCAAGCAACAGGACAAAAGGAAAAGGCGTCTAGTTGTGGCAGGAGAAGTTTAGATATCAGGAAAAACTTCTTCACTGAAAGGGTGGTCAGGCATTGGAGCAGGCTATCCAAGGAAATGGTGGAATCACTATCCCTGGAAGTGTTGCAGGCGGCATGTGGATGTGGCCCTTGGGGTTTAGTGGTGAGCACAGTGGTGCTGAGATAATGGTTGGGCTCGATGATCTTGGAGGTCTTTTCCAACCTTAATGATTCTGTGAGTATATAAAATTCCTTTAGAAAGTTGTTCTTTGTAGGAGACAGTGCTCAGTGCTGAGTATTTTTAAACATGTGCATACACTGGTGAGGCTGAATATCAGAGCCTGCCACTGCAGAGAGCAGAACAGGGGAGCAGCTGCTGAATCCTCCCTGTTTTGGAGATCTGTGCTGACCCAGGAAAGATAGAAAATCCAGGAAATCTGGGTCTATAATTAGTTTTATCTCCTTTGGAAAGAACTGATGTACCATATGTAATATGGGATCTGTAAAATCAGTGGATAAACGTGTGTTTCCTTTACATGTTATAACACCTTTTTATGAACTGTTTCTTGCTAGTTACTGTTTTTTGTTTGTTTCTAGGAGAGAAAAAAGCCCCCACCACCAAAACCCTCTTAACTTCCTTTAGTTGACTATAGAGCCCTTGAACTCCATGTTCTGTTAGGTACGCTGCCTTTCAGAGTCTTTATCTGCTGCACCAGTTAACAGCTTCTTGACTTGTATTTTGCACTTGCATGGCAGGGCTTTTTCAGGAGGAGTCAGCAGAGCAATGCCACCTACTCCTGTCCCCGGCAGAAGAACTGTCTGATCGACCGGACCAGCCGCAACCGCTGCCAGCACTGCCGGCTACAGAAATGCCTGGCTGTGGGGATGTCCCGGGATGGTAAGCACTGCTCACACTGCCTGCCTGCACACACTGAGGGAGGCTGTGCTGTGCTGCGGGTTCAGCTCAGACCCACAGGGTTTAAAGGCTAATTGTGCATTGGGCTGATACTTGTGGTCATCAAGTGTTTTTTAGATGTTGCTCCCTATTTTTCTGTGTTATGCATTGTATGTTTTTACATGTTCACATGAATATCAGGGTTTATTTTTTTTTCTTACTCATCTATTACAGTTCCCAGTTAAGAGCTTTGTATCTGGTCACTTGAAGATGCAGATTTTTAGTCTGATGTTAATACTTTATATGTTCATTCCAATTGAAGTGACCTGCTGTGGTTGCAGGTTAACAGTGCCTGGGTGCAGGTCAGAACTGTTTCCCAATATCAAGAGAAGTTGAATTGTATATAATGAATAATGAAAAAAAATGCAAAGAGAAGAATAATGCAGTGTTTTTTCAAAGGTAGAATTCTGAAGAAAATCTGTTCCAGTGCTGTTAATACTAAGCTCAGAATTACAGCTGGAATAGTGATGAAAGGCCAGCTCTGTAAGATGGACACTTATGTAATTCAGTTAGAACTGGCTTTGCAGCTGATACTTGCACTCCTCCCCACAATGGGGGAGCTGCCACCATTTACCCAGTCTGGAGACTGGAGTCACTCTGTTCCCCTGCCACGGTGACAGCAGCAAACACAACAGACATTACTCTGGGTACGTGAGGCCCCATTAAAGAGATTGTTTCCAGATTACATTTACTTCTTGAATTACATTGTCTTAATTTTTTTATTGGGCATGAGACTAAAAAGCTGCAACAGCTGATCATGTAATGACTAGTTCCTCCAGCAAGTTTGCTTTCTTGTAGAGAAGTAAAAGGCAGTAGTCACCTTTCTAAAGGACGGGGCTTTTGCAGCTGATACAGGTCCCTGAAATCACATACTGTACCCTGAGGAATTCCCTGGATGCTACAAACCAGTTGCTGCTGGCTGACAGCTACTGCCTCTCAAAGCAGTAGTAATCTGTGTGTGCACGTGTGTACACACACAAATACAGGTTTAACAGTTGCTCACCTAGTAACGCTTCTGCTTGTCACAGCGGTGCTGGAGGCAGGTTTGGTGATTCCTCCCATGTGCTCTAGTCCCAGTCCCAGTAAAGCTTGTTATTGATACACTGTGAGCGATACCCCACGTGTTGGCACCTATTTTTAAGTTCACTCTGTGGTGTGAATGTGCAGCTGGCAGGAATTGGACAGTTCATCCTGGGCCAGCATGTTCTGTTTTAACTTCTGCTTTTCCAGGTAGGACTTGAATGCTGAAGAGATGCATCTGTCAACTTTGTTGGATGTTCAGGAGAAAATCTTTTCGGTACAGAAGTGGGAAGTTAATGAATGAAGCTAAACCAGAGGCTTCTAATAGTCCATTTCAGTTGCATGTTAAGAGGGTGTTCTAAAGAGCAGGGCCTGCAGCTGAGTCCCTGTGACCGAGAGCAGCGATCCTTAGGTCTGCCTGTGCTGCTGGTTTGGGGTTCCTGTGGTGTGTAAAGACTGGAGACAGTCCAGAGCCAGCAGTGGGTGTGTGGGAAGGTAACAGCCGTGTGTCTGTGTTTCAGCTGTAAAGTTTGGCCGGATGTCCAAAAAGCAGCGGGACAGCCTGTACGCGGAGGTGCAGAAACACCGACTGCAGCAGCAGCAGCGCGACCACCAGCAGCAGCCGGGAGAGGCAGAGCCGCTCACCCCCACTTACAATATCACCACCAACGGGCTCACAGAGCTGCACGACGACCTCAGTAATTACATTGATGGGCATACCCCTGAAGGTAGCAAAGCAGACTCTGCAGTTAGCAGCTTCTACTTAGACATACAGCCTTCTCCAGATCAGTCGGGTCTTGATATTAATGGAATCAAACCAGAACCAATATGTGACTACACACCAGCATCGGGCTTCTTCCCTTATTGTTCTTTTACAAATGGGGAGACCTCTCCAACTGTGTCCATGGCAGAATTAGGTAATGAGAGAGAAAAGCTTACATTCTAATTGTCTTAACAGTACCCTTTGGATTAAAGTGCCACATTTAGCCAGGTGATAGTGAGAATGCTGCTTCAGTGGAGCTGGGAGTATGTGTGGGTATTCTGCTGTGACGTGCACAGTGTCCTCATCTCGGGGTACACACAACAACTTACCCCTCTGGCCTAAAACTCTGGGAGCCTGGGGCTGATCAGCTCTAGGAGTGTTGCTTTTGCTTTCAGTCCTTGCAATAGAACCCTTTGAATACTGATTAACAAGCTAATTCTTAGTGCTGAGCAAACAGACAGCGTATTTCTTTTTTTGCAATTATTTTTTAACATTTTATCTCCTTTTTCATTACCTCAATACTCTTATTTCTGACAAAAAGTGATGAGGCTGATTTTGCTCTGCTCTTTACCTGGCAAATCTGAAACCAAAGCACCAGACTAATCTGAGGGCACTTCTCCTTGTCACTGGTTGAAGAGAATCTGGCCCCAGATACTGAAGAAAATTTTTGAATGTAGCAAATTTTGATAATTTCTCCAAAAGCCTTATAACAAACACATTAATTAGCATGTTCTACTTTAAACTCTTCCCTGAATGATGACACTGGGGCTGAGTTCCACAGCTGTGACTTGTCAAGAGCTGAGACTGGAGTTAGAGCCTGCTGTGTGAACAGGTTATAAACAAAGTGGAACAGGACATGAGAGAAGTGGTCTCATGATTCTATTACTTCTGTAAGCAGTCAGGTGTTTAAAACTAATTTTGCTTGCTTAAGCAACATTTTTGCTAATTATTTTAGTTACAAAACCCTAAAAAAAATAGTTTGAAAAACAGGTATTCCACATTAAAATTTTATGTGGTTTATATTCTTTTGAGAAATTTTACAGAGAAGAAGGCACAAGAAGGCTTACTTTATAATGTCCTTATGTTGCAGAATGCTGTTCTCTGCAATATAATTGGTCCTGACAGCCAAAATACTATGTCTGGCTTGAGTTCAAATAATTTCAGATAGGTAAAGATGAGAAGAAAAAGTCAGGTTAAAGACAATGCTGCCAGCTTTGTGTCAGTCAAATGGTTGCTAATTTTCTCGTGGAAGTTATTAAAAAGACTTACATTAAACTCACAATAAAAAAGAAAGGGCTTTTCCTTTGTAGGCCAGGTTTTGAGTTTGGAACACTGGCCTAAAATAAGTTTGTCGTGTTGCTTCCCTTCATTTCCACACTGCTTGCATTTAAAGCCTGCACAGTGTGATTTGGGTGCCCAGCACTGACATTACTGAACAATGTTTGAAGAATGTTTGTCTGCCAGACCAAGGTTTCAATTTAGGAAGGTGTGGCTGTTCAATGAAAGTATTTAGGTGTGTCCTGCAATACAGTCCAGAAGGGAGGCCGAGGCTTGGGAGTAACATGGGGAATATTTCACCTTCTCTGTCCTGCAAGGGCACAGGGATTGTGATGCCAGTGGCTGCTACCCAGGACAAACGTCTGAGCTACACGCTTGTGAGAAAAAAACAATTGTTCTCAAATACATCAAGGCTGTGATAACAAACCAAGTATAAATTACCTTGTGTTCTACCTTGTTGATTGCTCAGGTAGCACATATAAGCTGAGTTTACCTCACCTGTGTTAAAAGACTTTTCAGGTAGTCTCTTACATCAAACTACTGATGTACTAAAGATGGTACTAAAGAGCCTGATTGTGCAGCAGTTGTTTGTGAAGGGCCGGGTTTGCTCATTGTCAAACAAGGCCCATTTCACAGATCTGGTGCTGCAGTCCCCCAGATACCCCCATGTTGTTAATGCCCACCGGTCCTGCTGGTTTTAAGCCTTCCTTTCCAGTGGCCTCACAGGCAGAACTGTGTGAGATAAGTCACAACACTTCTGCTTGGCATGTGCTCAAACAGCAGAACAGGCCCAGAGCCAGGGTAGAAAAGAGAAAGGCAAAGTGGAATTCAGGTGTCTAAATCCCATTCAAGCTTTTGAAGGGGTTCCTGAAGGTTTATGGAACCAGGTTTTATTAATAAATGTAAATCTGCCATATAGTTCTTTTAATCAAGTATAGCAGCAGAAAATATTTTATTTGGAATTAAAACATTGGATGGAAATTTTAAATCGTGCAGTTAACTAAGCTTCTCTAAAGCTGAAGAAAAAATCCTTAGTGATTTCTTAGTGAGTTATCTTAATCATCTGGATTCTCCAATAGATATATTTTTAATATAATATATTGATTATAATAGAAATAATATAATTATATTATGTTACATAATATAATAGAATTAATTATAATAAATATGTAATATTTTATATAATAGATTTTAGTATAATATTTTTAAATTATATGAGAAAATATAATGAATATATAAATATATGAGAACGGCACTCACTGGCAGCCTGATGGGATGAGAGTCCTGCTTAGCAGAGCACTAGACAGGTGGTAACTGCCTGTATTTCTTTTTTGGAAAGCCTCAGTTGTATAAAACACGGCCTTGGCATCAGCAGAGGCGCTGCCTGGCAGGGCTGTGCTGTCCCTGCCCATGGCGGTGTCCTGTGTTCCAGGGCCGTGCCGCTGGGACCCGCGGAGCACATTCCCGGGTCAGGCGGGATCTGAGCAGGGTTGTTCTCTGTGGCTCTGTTCGTGCCGTGACTCCCGGCCCGGGTGTCAGAGCTGCCACAAAGGCAGCAGGGGCGGGTCCCGCAGCCGCGCTGCTCCGGGGCCTCCCGGCCTTCCCCCAGCTCGCCTTTCTTGTGCCCAGTGTGGGTGCTGGAGTTCCCAGTTTGGGTGCTGGAGTTCCCTGGCTCCCACCGCGGGGGCCGCGCGTCCTCTGCCGGCGGCGCCGGGCAGCGCCGGGCGGGACAGGAGCCTTCTGCGGCCGCAGCCAAGGAAACCCGGATTCCTTGGCCCTCGGCTCGCCCTCCTCCCTCCCCCTGTTGCAGCTGGAATATGTTATTTGCTCCCGTCTGAAGGTACAGCTTTGCATTTCTAATGCGTGTCGCTTTCTGCTCTTTCTCTTAGAACATCTTGCACAGAATATTTCCAAGTCACACATGGAAACTTGCCAGTACTTGAGAGAGGAGTTGCAGCAGATAACATGGCAAACTTTCCTGCAGGAAGAAATCGAGAACTACCAGAACAAGGTATGAAAGCACGCCAGGACATGGCATGGTTTCTATCAAGCATGGTATTTCCATAACACACTGCAAAATTCACTTTTTCACTGCTTTCTCTTTACTATCAGGAATGTATATTTCTGTGTGTTTTAAAAAAAAATGCTAGAATCAAAAGCAGCAAGATGGTCAGGCTATCCTTTGCATTTGTGATTTGTACAGGTATAGGAAAAGGCAAAGCCATTCTCCTAAAATCTGTAATAAAGAAGGATAGGAAACCACAGGAATTTTTTCAATCCTAGATGGCATGTTATTTTCTTCTCTTAATTCGTAACCTCCTGGATCAACAACAGCACAAGCTGAAGCCACCAAGTGTTGTGATTTTACATGGTGTGTTTTGTTTTGAGTTATAAACACCCTCCAGTTATCCCTCAGTGTTTGGGTTTTACCTGTGGAATGGCAGCACATTGTCCATGGTGCTGCCACCCCCCTGGGGTACTGTGAGATCTGGTCAGTGTTTGCCTTTCCAGCACACCTTCCATCCACAAACTGCTGCCATGGGCTTCGTGTGGAAAACTGTCCTGGGAAGTGCTTTGAACGTGTTTTTCATTTCCACAGAAAAATATTTAACCTTTAAGAATATCCTTTTTTCTACATTAGGTAATTTCATTCTGCATTATTATCAACATATGAAAAACTCACGTGCCTTCTTTATGTTGTTCAGAAGATGACCTTCATATACAATCATCTGTCTGTGTGTCCTTCTGAAGATGAGCAAGGCAGATAATTTGCATCCAGTACAAAACACAGAAGTTGACAGGGAAAATGTGATTATGCCCTGCTAGTGGAAATTGGCATTTTCCTTTGATGCAGTGAATAAAATTCCTGCTGAAGTGACCAGAACGGTTACACTTTGACATTTTTGGTTTATATGAAATAAAAATACTCCAACCTGGATCTCTTCTGGCATGACTTGAAGAAGTCTCCCATGTTTGCTTTGTCACTCCACAGGAGGCTTTGGCTTGGAGGTCAATTCCCCCTGTTTTATCAGCAGACTGTAGCCAAGAGTGCTGGGGAGAATTCACTGCAGGGGTTTTTTGACTCAGTTTTACTTGATGACAATGAGCTTTGCCAGCCCAGGTCGGTAATCTCTGCATTTCTCTTCTCTCCCACAGCAGAGGGAGGTAATGTGGCAGTTGTGCGCAGTCAAAATCACAGAAGCTATTCAGTATGTAGTGGAATTTGCCAAACGCATTGATGGCTTTATGGAACTGTGTCAAAATGATCAAATTGTGCTTTTAAAAGCAGGTATGTGGGTCAGTTTTAAGGTCTGCTTCTATTAGTTTAACTGAGGAAGGTGTTACTTGTATATAGTGATTGTGTATGCAAATATTCACATGTAGTACAATGATAATTTAAAATCATATGGGGCAAAACCTTACAAATTGTCTCAGAAGTAACTTCGTAGTTACTCTGGATAGGAGGAGTTCAAAGTCTACTTACTAAGTTTTCATTATGAACAACAAGACTATGTAAAGATGGAAAAGCTGGATTCAGATTTAATTTTCGATTATTAGGTAAAAATTTCAAGGTAAAAATCCAGATTGTTCTCTGCAAGAGACTGTAGAAGCAATGCAGTTTACAAATATTGGACCAAGTTGTCAAAGCTCTGTGAGCATAAATCTAAATGAGCCGCTTTGACTTCAGAGACTTCATTACTCTAAAAAGAATTATTAGAGTTGATTAGCAATGACTAAGTTGCTTTAGCAAAAACTTCTGAAGGGGTTTATGGGAATTCTTTTAATTCTAGTAGCAAACCAGGCTATGCTCTGTTACACCACAGGAACCTCTTACCCTACTCAATAGATGATGAAAGCAGAGCATTACTTTTAAATCCTCACTTGCTCTTTGCAGCTGAAGCCTCGACTTCCAGAGTCAAACATACCCTGTTTCTGTTTTAGGGTCTTTAGAGGTTGTGTTCATCAGAATGTGCCGTGCCTTTGACTCCCAGAACAACACAGTCTACTTTGATGGCAAGTATGCTAGCCCAGAGGTTTTCAAGTCCTTAGGTAAGGAAATGTCAAGTGTTGTGTCTTAAAAAAAAATGGAATAAAAATAATAAGGTGGAAGAGCAAGGGAAAAGAGCTGCTTTGAAAAAATCAGGCTCTAGTGTTCAAATAAAAGAGCTGCAAAGCTCAAACTGCTTGTTTTGTAAGCAGTCCTGCTGGCTCTGTTTGAGGCCAAGCTGATTGCAGGAGTTAAAGCAGCTTCACCTGTGCAGTAAAGGACCACTGATGGTAAAAATCAACATTTTGATGAGGGTAGAGCAGTTTGGACTCACTTGTTGAGAACAGAAGCCCAGATTTCATGTCTAGTGTAACACTTTGTATATCCTGTTGGAAAAGGCAGCAGATTTTAAGGTAACTTTGGATATTCTGATGTTATTGCTTTGAAGATGTTAATAGTGTTTTATAATGGGCCAAGTCCAGTTATTTGCAGGTAAAGCACTGTAAATCAATTTTTTTGTTAAACCACAGTTTATAATTTTGAATTTTTCTCTTGTATGTTTTTTCTAATTTTAAAAGGATGTATTTCACTGGGTGTAGATTTGGGCTGTTTTGGAGGGCAGTGGAAACACCTCAGTGGAGAATCAATGCTGTACCATTCCTGAAGTGTTCTCTGCCTTCCTAAAGCCCCTCAAGGTGCAAGGTCAGAGTGCAAACAGTTCTGGGCTCCAAGGAAACACAGCTGGATCTGTTTGCAGCTGTACCCAGAGGTTCAGGCTGGGTGGGGGTGAGATGTGCAGAGGAAAGCCCCTTCCCTCAGGCTGTGAGGGCTCCACTTTGCCAGCCCGTCCCTGCATGTGTGCCAGCACAGTAACCTGACTGACACGGTGTGAGCAGGAGGGAGAAAAGGAGGCACAGCTCCTCTGCTGCATGACAGGTGTTCAGACCTTGGCTTCTCCCTCTGCTCTGCATGTTCCTCGTGTGCCTCTCTGTTCCCCCACTCTGTGTGCTCAGCTGGCCTCACACCAGCGCTTTGTAAGGCCACGTTTGCAGCCTCCATCCACACTGACGTGAGAAAGCCCCATTTAGAACAGAACCAAAGCTAAACCAGTTTTGAGCTTGAAAATAAATGGCTTGAGATTTATCCATATTTACCCCCCAAGAACCAAATGTAGGAAAGATCCGGTGTGCAAAAGCTTCCAAGCACTGGGTGTGGGAGCTGGAGACCCGTGGGAATGGGGTAATAAGCTCAAGGATGAGTGAGATCTCACTACCATCACTTCACAGTCCTTAAGGGGAAGACCATTCACCTGTGAAGTATTTTACATCTGTTTCTCATCTGCATCAGAATAAATCAATAACTCTGTGGCTCTGAAGTAGTTTTAAACAATGTGACATGAGCTGTACCTTCTTTTTGGCAGGTTGTGAAGACTTCATTAGTTTTGTGTTTGAATTTGGAAAAAGTTTATGTTCTATGCACCTGACAGAAGATGAAATAGCTTTGTTTTCTGCGTTTGTTTTAATGTCAGCAGGTAAGAGATGAAGGTTTCCTCTGGCTTTGTTTGGGTAGAGGTCATTTTTATTTTGAGGTCTTTTTAACGATAACATTAAGACTATCAGACAGTGTGGAAATGTCACATCTTTTGGAGTGTCTCCCTCATCAAAAGTTTTATTTTAATAAACACATTACAACTGTGAATTTAGGAATCAGTTTGTTAAGTTGGAAATCCTAGTCTAAGCCCTTGTTTTCCACATTTTGACCTTGTTGAGGACTCAGCTTCTTTAGAAAAAAGCTTAAATGCATGTCAGGGCTGGGCAGGGCTGGGCTGGGCTGATCCTGGTGAGACAGGCAGAAGGTAGACACTGAACTCACACAGTCAGCTTTCACATCTGTGAGCTTCCAGCACCACCTCAGGCCTGTTCAGCAGCATTGCCGTGTTAGTGTGGCAGCTGAGGTGTGTGCCCACCGTGGGACTGGGGACACTGAGGTTGTGGTGCCAGGTCAGCCCAGAGCCAGCCTGGGTGTGCCATGCCATGGCTGTAAGAACTCCGTGCTCACAGGCTCTGGGACGGCTCCTCAGGCAGGGGAACAGGATCCTGGGGCAGAAGGTCAGTTTGTGTCTGACTTGGAAGCAAACTGTGGGTTTAGGTGGCAGTGCAGTGGGCTCAGGAGTGGTGGTGAACAGTCTGTGGGCAACAGTGCGTTTGCTGAGAGCATCACAGATCCACTCCTATGCTCTTTGCCAGATGGGAAGTGTGTTAGCCCAGTGTCTTAGCAAGCCCCGGAATCCTGCAGGTCTGGCACACACAGAATGCAGCAGCTCATACTACTTTCTGCCATGAAGTTTAGGAGCTGCTTTTTGTTTTTTTTAATATTTGAATCTTTGCATCTGATTTTTCTGTAAGTCACTGGAGATCTTTGCAAGATCCACTCCAACTACTCTTTCATTATACGATCTGTTCATTTTGCAGTGAAAAGTTAGTAGCTTCATTTTGTAAATAGCCTGCATTTTACAGACCTTTTTAGCAAACGAGTAATAAATCATACTCAGATTAATTGCATTCTTCTAATTAAGGGCTTTATATAAGTAATTTAATTGAACGTAATAATTGTACTCCAAAAGCTGTTGATTTTGAAACTCATTTTCTATATGAGAGTATGTAAAATGGAGGGCAGGTTGCAAACAGGAAGGATGACTCTGTCAGAGCCTCAGTCGTTCCTGGTGCTCTGTGAGCCCTGTGCAGCACTAGAGATGTTAACTCCATTTATGTTCAGATCGCTCATGGCTTCAGGAGAAAGTGAAGATTGAAAAGCTCCAACAGAAGATCCAGCTGGCACTTCAGCATGTCCTACAAAAGAACCACCGAGAGGATGGGATTCTAACAAAGGTAAGAGTCAGACTGGGCCATGACTCTGAAAATATGCTTTCTTAGGAACACTGTCCTGATTAAGGTGTAAAAGCTTTGACGCAGTTAAGTTGTTATTTATAAACCCAGAATTCCTTGTTCAAAATCAAGGTGCTTAGCTGGAGCTATTTACTGAAAACCACAAGAGGTGAAATGATGACGTGCTAGGGAACAGGGTTGATAATGGTCTGAAAGGAAGGATTTTGATGTGGAGCTTCATGAAAAGTGATGAAGTTTTTTATCCTAGTTCTCCTACACGACTTTTCTGCCACACAATACTATTTCAGTTCTCCAACGTGCAGCCTTAATCCTTGTGGGATCTCTGCCTGCATGACAATTAAGTTTTTATTACATGCAATACCCAAACCAAACTTGTTTTTCAGACTTCCATGAGAAGTTCCCCACACAGCCTTTTTCTCAGTTCTTCCAAATCCTGAAACCTGGGGAAAAGAGACCCCCCACACTATTATGCTCATCTAAAGTATCTTCACATCATTTTTCAGAAAAGAAAAAGTGGTGTTATGTTACAAGAAGTGGTGTGATGTTACAGGAAGTAAATCTGGAGAACTGAGGAAAAATAAGCCCTTCCTGACAGAGGTAGTTCCTTATACAACTCTGCACAGCCAGAAAGCTTCTGCTTAGTTTCCCACCACAGAATTCATTACAATAAAAGCAGGAGGGTCCAGCCCAGCCTTTGTGGATTTTCTTCATTTCAAATCCTGGCTCATGGACTTCTTTTCTCGGTGTATACTTTGGATGCCTTTGTTGGAAGGAAGTTTCTTCCATGTGCTTTGATACAAATCCTTTACTCAGTAGCTGATATTTTTGTGATATTTTTGAAGTACTTATTTTTCACCTTATTTGGCTTAAGTTAAATAAGTCCAATCTATTGCATTGCCAGTTCCCTCCATAATACTCACAGTGGGTTTAAAAGCAGTTGGGCTGCCTTTTTCCAAGAGTGTGATTTAGTTGCACGAATGAAGATCCAGCTCTGAAATTCTGTATCAATCCAGTGAGGAAACCTAATGACACATTTTCCTAGGAACTTAAAGATTATTTCACAAAGAGCTGGGAGTCCATTACGTAAATACCTTTAACACCCCCTGAAATGTCAGAATCTGAACAGTTGTGTTTGGGAGAGTGTAATCCTTGCAGCAGGATCGGGAGGGCTGGTTCCGTGTATGACCATATGACTTTGTTCATCTCTTTACAGTTAATATGCAAAGTGTCTACTTTAAGAGCACTGTGTGGACGACATACAGAAAAGCTTATGGCATTTAAAGCAATATACCCAGACATTGTGCGACTTCATTTTCCTCCACTTTACAAGGAGTTGTTCACTTCAGAGTTTGAGCCAGCAATGCAAATTGATGGGTAAACGTATCACCTAAGCACTTCTAGAATGTCTGAAGTACAAACATTAAAACAAAAGAAAGGAAAAAAAAAGGAAAAAAAAAAAGAAAGAAAACCAAGACACTTTATATGGCCCTGCACAGACCTAGGGAGCCAACACACTGCACATCTCTTGGCGGTCGGGGTCAGGCGAAGGATGGGAAACAATGACACAAAGTTGAACTTGTTTTTCTCATGCATATGATTTCCATTATGCCTACAAATATGGACCCTTTTTCTGTCTCAGCTTCTCAATCCTTGACCTCTGTTTACACAGACTGAGGGTACTAATGTCAGAAGGTTGTTTTCTCGTGTAGTTCACTGCCCAGACTTTTGACAGAACAATCAATTTGTTGATCAGAACAGAGTCCACCCAATAATCAGCGACTGGTGTGAGGTGCAGAGATTTCAGCATCAGTTTGCACAACTTGCTCATTGTTTCATGAAGGACGATTTTTTTCACCTACCACTGTTTGCCAGTAGACAGAACGGCATGAAAAGGGTCCATAGCAATAGCAACAATAGCATTATAATATATTACAGGGTAAATGGGCATGAAGACTATATATAGCAAAAGAGATATTGTTTATATATTGTTTTAATTAATATAAAATGTAGTTACTGGTATAGCTTTTCTCGTTGAATTGATAAGGCACTTTCATTTTGCACCTTTTTCTTTAAATTAAATGCTAGCGTGTTCATTGTTGTGTTGCATGTGCACCAGAAATTCAAGTTTAACTGAAAAAGGTTTGGCAGGTACTGGTACATTGGGAGGTATTTATGCTGCTGTTTTCCATGTTACTTTTAAAGAGAGGCTGGTCATATCCTGAAATGGTTACAGATTTTTTTAAAGAGTTCAAAATAATGACAATTTTCTACATAAAAATAATCTTTCCAGATGTTAAATTCAAAGGTACTTTTATTTTTAAATCTTTCAAACCTGGATGTTTAAAATTACATGCCTAAATTCAAATTTAAGTGCGCAAGTCAAAAGCCTCATTGTCAAAGGTGCTGAGTTTCACTGTCAGAGTCAAACTAAGCAATTGCAGCTCATTTCCAAATGAGTAACACAGCACCTCTGAAAAATCAGGCTGTTAAATGGTGTATTTCTGCCCACCATAAATCCAGGTTTGAAGATACTCAAGTCTGTATCTACAGTAAAAGTATGTGTGTATGACATGTATGTGGAAAAGTAATTTTTATACATAATATTCCATACTTTTGTACTCCATATGGTAAACAATGCCTTCAGACTCAAACGTGAGCCCAGCAAACCCAGAAGGGGTTTGACTGCAGGGAGATGAGACCCTGACCCCTGTTCTTCCAGCATCCAGCAGTTCAGTTCCAGGGAGCTGATCAGAGAAGTCCATTGCTCTCCTTGTTTAGAAAGAAGCACTTTAAAGTTTAGCAAATGGGGACTAACAAAGTAAAGGCAACACTGTTGCTAGAAAGCATTGGTTCTACTCTGTATAATGCCTGGAAATCATTAATATCATAAATCTGCATTCTGTAATTCTGACTCCTGTACTGCAGAACCAACTAATAAGCTGAATCTTGCAGTCTTATTAATTACATTCCCTCCAGGAAGAATTCTGTCTCTGAGCAAATCTGGCAGCAAACCCAGTGCTGAAGGAGGCAGATTCACAGTAAACAACATTACAAACTGAACTGTGACTGTTTGAGCCAGAGATGTGTAATTGGGTTTGGATGAGATGGAGATGCATAACTGAATGCCCTGTGGGCCTGCACAAAGGAGGTTTCTGATAAAGTACAAAAGAAAAAGCTGGGAACTTCAAAAAAGGAAAAGGAATGAGGCAGAATGTGCTTTAGTTTCCAAGGGTCAACAATCTCACGTATGTTACAGTTGTTGAGAAGTAACACGTGAGTAGAAGCACACTGAAGCCTAAGGATTTTAAAAAGGAGAACGGGGTCAGTGGATTATGATTAGCAAAATACAGGTTTATTCTGTGGTTTGAACGTGTTTCCTTTGGGGTCAATTTGAGACATTTAGCTGTGACACCTCCTGAAGTGTTCCAGTGTTCCCATCAGGGAGGCTCAGAGCTGTCACTGCTCTCCAGGGTTTGGAGGGAGGGAGAGGAGCATCACTTCCCTCCCCAGAGCAGTGACCCCGAGTGTGGGAGGGCAGCACCTGCAGCCCTGGGAGCACTGGGGTGGAGTCAGGAGAGGGCTCCTGGGAAAAGCCCCCAGAGCTGTCTTTTGCTGCTCCATCCTGCTGCTCCTGGAGAGGGGGCTCAGCCCAGCATGTGCCCTCCCCATCCCACTGGAACACGTCTGGAATCATTGTTTACTTTATTGGAGTAACTGGCACGATATGGTACTTGCATTCTAATGTCTGTTCCTATTTTTGAAGCAACCCTTTTAACTAACAAATGTTTTCTGAATGTGACCAGCCTTAGGTGCTAGTCCTGTAAAGATCAACTAAACTTAATCTCAGTGTCAACTAATGAGTACTGAAGTAAGACCTGTACGTTTTTAGAGAGCAAAATACAACTCCTGCTTGTGACAATATGTAGACTACCAGGTAAAATATATGGGGATTAATTTTCAGTCACATCCTTTTTCTTACCTTTTCCTGATGAATATTAGTACTTTACCAGGCACCTCAGTGCCAGTGGTTTTGTTTGGAATCTAGTTTGGCATATTTACACTCCTAAGTCATTGACAACACCATTTTTGGAGCATTTACTAATACAGTACATAACTGTAAAAGGTTTCAGACAGGGCCTTAGCTGACAGTGATCTTCCAGGCCAGAAAGGGCTGTCGTTTTTGTTGGTGGGAGCTCCTGTGCTGGCCCCTTGTTAAATCAGGCTGTGCACACCCCCCAGGTAACTCTGCTTTCCTGATCCCAGGGAACAGCCACTGGGCAAAAGAGTGTAATTCTTGTTTTGCTCTCCATGGAGAGGGGAAGAAAGGGCTGCAGCCTGGCAGAGGGACTGATGAGATCTGCCAAGGAGGCTTTTATGGAAGGGGACACCGGCTGACACTGGGGTGGCTGGGCAGGGATGGCCCTGCCAGAACCAGCAGAGCAGAGCAAACACATCTGCCCAACCTCTGGGACTGGGGCTGGGGTCAGATGCTCAAACAGATCCTCAGTTAAAAACATACCTGAGGTCAGTGGATATTCATGAGTATTTTCATAATCTGCCCAGTTCACTACAAATAAAACACTAGGACAGCTAAGAGAAAGGAATATATTAGGGTTTATGACCTGGTCCTCAGAGTCTGCACAGATGTTTTCATCGGGTTATATCTATCCATGGAGATGTTTTCTGGCTTTCTAGAAGGAGGCACTGTCCTGTCATTGGAACCACCCTAATGTGTGTCATCCCCTCCAGCATTGATTGACATTGAAAAACTATGGGATTAGGTAAAAAAGGGAGGCTGTTTTTAAGTTTGGTTGTTCTTTATTAGCTTCTCTTAGTCTGGATACCAAGATATCTGTGTATGTGCACCTGTGTGTGTGTGAGAGAGTCCATTGTGTGAGCACACGAGTGTTTGTGTGGGTCCGTGTGAGTGGCTGCTTCTAGGCTGTTCAGTGTCAATGAATAAAGAAAATGTATTCAAAATACTTAAGTCAAAAATAGAAGGTGGAAAAAAGATTTATTCTATACAAAGCCTTGTCTGGACCACTTTAGAGAGACTTCTATTTTTTTAACCCTTCTATAAATGTTTGATGGCACTTGAAATATTCCTGCAATAAAATGTGATTTGTGTAAACATTAAAAAAAAAAAAGATTTTGTAATGTGAAACAATGAAAGAAAGTAATGTAATTTTTCTAAAAAACAAAAAAAACACAAACGAACGAACTTTGTATTATTTTCTTGATGGAATTTGTCTATTTGTCTTTGGAAAACTTTTTATTTCATTGAATGTGCCATAGTAGAGGTGTGTTTTTCTTTTTCTTTCCTTTTTTTTTGTTGTTTTACATTTTAGATTAAAGGAATAGCTGTGTTCCGACATTCCAAAATGCAAGATGACATAGCAGTCATGATTAAAAGGTTTGATTAGTAAGCTTCAATCATTGTTGCTTTTTTTGCACATGTTCTTCATTCCTCTACAGTGCAATATGTACATAGAGCACTTGCGGGTGTAACCTTGATCCCTCAGGGAAAAATACATATTTGTACAGGATTTTTCTTTTTTTTGCCTTTTTTCTTTTCTTTCCTTTTTTTCTTTTTTTTTTTTTTTTTTGCTAAGGAATGTCGATTGAATCACTTGTCTGTTGTTGAGGGGCAGCCAGATAATAATCCTAAACCACTGTCACAAAACATTGATTGTTTAAATTTTGTGCCCTTTTATTATTTAAAAAAGAAAAATAAAAGTTATTTTCTGACAGTTCTTTGTGCTGATTGGTGAAAAAAAGGGTAAATAGATAAGCACCTTATGATTGACTTAACTGTGAATGACAATCCATCTCGTTTCCAACAAGAGAAGCCCTATCATTTTGGAGCTGGGGTTATGAGGCAGAAACTAATGTGCTCAGGGATCTTCTAAAACTCTTCAACAGGGTGGCCAGTACTGCTGGTGGAACAAATTGCTTTTTAAAAAATCTGCTTGTATTTCTTCCCTTCCCCCTCCCCCAGGCACAGGAGAACTGGATATTTTTGTTAGCTAAACGTGTGTGCCTCGTTCTCTGACTCACTTTTGCAGCACGGCTGCTTTTTGGTCGCTATTTTGTTCGAGACAAAACTCCAAACAGCGCAAAGGCTTCGCAGTTATATTTTAGGAAATAAATGCTGACCCACTAAATAAATGATTGAAATTGATTTCAGTCCCCTCTGGATGTTTTTATAACGATAGGACTATTTTTCCAGCTGAAATTCAGTGTTCTGCAACAGGAAATGGCTTTTCAGTATTTAAGTTGTCAAAGAAAACAGGTCAGTGGCTGGTAGTACATTAGGAATGAAAAGGTCATGGTTAGGTGGCAGCAGTGAAGTCACACAGAAAGGGACACAGATCTGCAGGAGTACAGGAACAGCACTTCAGACGTTGTCTGGCGTTGTTGCAGATGTTCCATGGTAAAGCAAAGACCTGAGTGGAGAGGAACACTGAGGCTGGAGACATTGTCGTGTCTAGTACAGCAAACACAGCCGTTCCGAGGGGTTTGGCAGTGCCTGGGAAGTGCCCAGTGCCAGGCTGGAGGCTGCTGGAAGCCTGGCCCAAGGAGCTGTGTGTTGGGGCTTCACTAAAGCAGGGACAAACTACGAACAAAGGGAGCAAGACTTCAAGCCTTTGGTTATGCTGGGAAGAGAGTGACTTTCTCCATCAAACCTGTCTGCTTGCAGAAAGCACCAGTTTTCCAGCATTTTTGAGGGTTTTTCACGGGTATTTGGCTTCCAGCTGTTTACTTTAGATTGCTTAGCACCCAGGGAAAGTGGCTTCTCCAGCTGCCAGGCAGTTGAGCCTGGAATGGCCTTCCCCAGCAGAGCAGGGCTGAGCCAGACTGACCTCCTGATCAGTTGGTGTGCTTGGCAGCTCCAGCAGAGAATTCCTGCTGCTGATCATAATAGACCCCGTTCTTTCCAGACTTGCACATCAACTAAACCTCCTCTTAGAATGGACAATCGATCAGATGTTTAACTGTGCAATGGGATGAGCCAAACACTACAGTATCTTTTTTTGGATTGGCATAGACAGTCCCCAGTCTGTAGTGGATGAACTGAACAGGTTACACAGGATAAGCTGTGCAAACAATGTGTATTTTTTTCCCTAGACATTCCTAAACTCCCCAATGTAGATAACCCTATTAATATAAATGTCAGAAACAGCATTTACTATACAATATCCAAAAATAATAAGCAGTTTTCTCTTGAGTATTCAGTGTATGAAATTCTACCTGTGCTAGTGATTCAGATTGCACAGAACACCTTTATTTTCCCTAGCTGGAGAAATATAACTATTAGAATTATTTTTTCATAATTAATACTAATATTTATTACTTTAAAAGTTTCATCCATTAATATATTTGAATATGAGCCTCCTATTTTCTTTTTGTTTAAATATTCCTGTCAGTAAATCATTTGGTGGAAATGAGGGCACATGCATACAGATACCAAATACAACAACAAAAAGCAAAGTTTTCAAATGTAAAGGAGTATTTATTTAAAAATCCTTGCAGTATGTGCTTTAACTCTAGTACTGTGATAATGGCTCGCTACGTAATGCTCAGTCACTGGACTTGGGGGGGAAATGTGTAACATTTAGGAGAATATACAGTCTATCTTTGGAACTTCATTCAGGTACTAAATAGAATTTTAACATCACAACAGAAGCTGTATTCTACCTTTTCCATATGTAATGTTGCTGTTTGTATTTTTTTTGCCTTTATCATTGGTAGAATATAGCAATAACTTTATAGCAATAAGTAGGCTATCCAAATAAGAAACAAAACATGATAAAGGCTTCAGATCAATACTCATGGGTTCACTTCTTCTGCCACAAGATTCACTTGTATGTCTTCCCTCATCGTCTCATCACTTCTTCAAGCTGAGCTTCACAATCAAGTTGTCCAACTTGATGTGTGCCATCACCCTTTGTTACCACGTGCCTGTTCTCGGTGTTCCCATGTCCTGTGTGTACTTGTTCTCCCGTGGTAGTGTTTCTCAGGGGTTCTGAAAGCACGACCTCCGGGGCCGTGTTCTCTCTGTGTTGGCATGAGCCCCTTTTGCCGGGGCGGGGATGTGACCGAGCTGTGATTAGTGGCAGCCTCTCGCTGAGGGAGCCGAGCAGCTGCTGTTCCTGGGACCTCTGGGCTGCTCCAAACGCCCGCAGCCCCCAGGCAGCTCCTGCGGCTGCCCCGGTGTGGGGCTGAGCTGCATCTCCAGCTCCCTGGGCAGCACAGGGCTGGCCGCGCTGGAGCCCCGCTCCGCTCCCACCCCGAGCGGCGTTCGCCTCTGAGAGCGATCTGAACGCTCCGGCAGCGCCCAGATGACGAGTTGTGACTTTCGGTTTGAGAAACACTAGCCCGGGTTACCCCCCAGAGTGTCGGTGTGGATGCACAGCCCTTACAGGAACTTGCAATCTGTAATCTCATCTCTGCTAAGGCAGAGGATTCATAAGCAATACAGTGAATTGTAGTTCACAAACGTACTGTACACCTCTGGAAATCCAAAACGTTCCTCATTTCTACACTGATTTCGAACAAGTCCCAGAACAGTGGTCAATGTTTGAAGTATTAGGACATTAACTGGCTGCTTCTTTCTATGTAACTGTATTGTCTGCCTGCTCCTTTTCTGGAGAAGTGTTTTTGTATTGGATGTTTGGGCCAATGGGAGGCTTCAAGCTACAATGTATTTTCCCAGATTAAATATATTTAACATATGACAAACCCCAGACAAGGCTTTTTAAAATGTATAAAGAACTGCAGTGTTAGGTGGTTTATTTGCAAACTGTTTTCAATGTTGTCCATTTTTATGGCACCTTTAACAATATTCTTGTTTCCAAAGTACAAAAAAAAGGTTAAAAATACTCTAGCCATAACTGAATGTCAAGCAATAAAAACAAATGACTTTTTGTGCATAGATTTAAAAGAAATACAAGTTTTAGACATCTGCATGTAAATGCAATCTCTTGTTTACTGCTTTCTTAAACTTGAGCAACTGATTCCTTATTTTACTACTAATTTAAGGACTTGTAATGGCCTGTAAACATTTTATCTTGCTCTATTCTTTCAACTCTAACTTTGTCTCTGCTTTGGAGTCATAATATTTAATGTTGTTCTGCTCACCTCTATACAGTTAACTTTTTGCTTTCATTCTGTATAGATAAAGTTATACTATAAACAGCCTACACAGTGCAAATATTTATCTGTTTATCAAATACCACATTATGCTGTATAATATCTGTTTTACTATATAATCTATTTTAGACATAGCTGTTTAGAACTAGAGTGTGCTATTTTTGTGTTTTTCTGATGTGTGGTGCTAGATAAGTTACTTTTGTGAACAAAAACAAACCCCTTTTATTCCTAGACAATACCACCTTTGGGTCTTGTTAATTTCACTGAGTATAACTATATATAAATATATATATTTGTGTATATATATATATACACCAACATATGCCCAACAAGTACCTGTATCAGAGTACAAGATTTGGGACATGGTTTTCTCTTTAAATGCATAGTGTCATTATATAAATTATTCTATAGTATATTTAATAAGGAGAAAATTACTTCACCGGTACAGATACTTGATATCAAATGTAGAATTTGTTTCTACATTATTAACATTATTAATTATTAACGTTATTAAAAATGTTCTGTCCAGCTTGTTATCCTTTTGGTTACTAAAACAGTCTGCCTGTATTGTATCAAACCCAAGAGAAACATCTAACGTGCCAGTAGGAAGCAGTTCCAGCGTGCTGGCTGTGAGGGAGGTGGTTCTGTGGCTGTTGCAGGAAGGGTGTAGCTGTTCTGTGCCGGGTGCCTCCTCCCTGCTCCCTCGGGATGGCACCTGAACGCTCCCCGTGGGGGTGTGCCCGGGCCGGGCCTGCACTGAGCTGCCGTGCCTGTAAACAGGAATGTTCTGGAACTCCTCCATAGGGATGGTTGGCTCAGTTCCCTCCTTGGATATGCTTTAGAACCAGGCACACATATCCAGGGACAGCCAGTAGCAACTAAAGTTCGTTAAGAAGTGGAATTTGCAACATTTTGTCAGGTATGGGGGTTTTGTTTTTCTTTTTTCATGTATACCTTAATTTACGTAGCCATGTACCCTTCAAAGTACTCCTGTCCCCTGTTCCCTTCATTCTAGATATTGTTTTCATGTTCATTCTTAAAAACTGATGGATATCAAATATCTAACTAAGGAGGTAATTAACCTTTTAAATATTTATTAGAATTTTTCTGTAATATTACTGAATTTATAAGATCTTTAGCAAAGATTTTTGAGCAATTTATTAATAACAATGTTTCTGTTTACTGCACTTTTTGATAATAGAAGGTAGTGAATTTTAAAGCCATGGTTCTTGGCTTCCATGCACTGCTTTTATACCCTCAATCCAAGGAATATATATATATAAATAATTTTTTTTAAACAGCAAACATACTGTTGACCTAAAAACAAATACAAACTTTACTGCACCGTGGGTATATTTTCATAAGTGGAATGTTTAACTGCAAACACTATCAGGACAATTATAAAAACCTCTTGAAGCTACAATCTTATTTAAATATAAGCCATGACAATTTTATTTTCCCTTGTTGATTTGAGTCACCTTTTGATATTCTGAAAGAGAAAAGGACTACTCTTAAATCTGTACGTTCCAACCTACAGGTAATGCCAGGAACACGTTCCCCCATTGTTTGAACAGTTTGATATATTTATGCAAAACCATTTGGTTAACATTTCTCCTCCCTCTTTACTAAATATTCAGTGTACCAACGCCAGAATCAATGCTGATTACAAACACACATCAGATTGAAGATTAAGCACACAGACTTAAAAAACCTCCCTGAGTGAAACGCTCAGATTTCTGTAAATACACACAAGTTGAAATGCAATGATACTGTACATGTAAATATGTGCTGTCTGTTATGTGTACAGTATGTATAAATTCCTTTTCTAGCCACAATAAAGTGTAAGCCATCAAGAGGAATACTAAAGTGGTATTGTACTAAACCTTTGCTAATGATCTTTACCCAGTCACTTCACTTGTCCCCCTCATGGACCTTTCCAGCTCACCCCTACAATAGCCTGCTTATATTCGAGTTTGTTATTTTACTCGGTCCCGAAAAAAGTATTTTGATTCATTTTGTAAATATGACTGTAAAAATAAGAGATTTAATGTTGTCTTTTAAATACTCCAATTTTCATTCTAATATGAATGTTGTTATATTGTACTTAGAAACTGTACCTTTAATATTACATTACCTTTATTAAGTGCATTGAACACATCGATTTTAGATGTGCTTTATGTACTGTTATCCTGTAATAAAACTTCAGCTTCTAATGGAAAAATCTGTCTTAACTTTTTGTCAGTAGCATCTTGCTTGTTTTTCTGAGTTGTGGTTAGTAGGTTTATTCCTTAAGGACTGCACTGATACAAAATCAGGCTGTGCTTCCAAGCCCATGTGTCAGAGCTGTTTTCACACAAACATCACATTGCATTTGTCAGCAGGGAAACAGGACGACTCCTGAATACCTTTTAAGCTCCCCTTTTGGCCAACAAGAGCTTTAAACCCTCTCAGAATGGATGTGGATTAACCTGCCTTCCCTCTCCTTGTAGGGGTCTTCATGTTTGAAATCACAGTTCACTGCACCAAGAGCCAAACACAAGAAATCTGCCACGAAGCCCTCCCAGGGACCTTCCCGGTGGAATTACCACTTTGGGATAGATCTAAATGAGGATTTGGGTATCAAAATTGAAGTTTTAATACAATTTAGGCATCAAAAATCAAAGTTGCAACTCCCCTCTGCTGTGCTCACCTTGGGAGCACCTGACTGTGCCAGCAGCATGCTTGGTCTTGGGGCATGTGAACTTCTCCTTGTGCAGCTCCTCAGAAACGCCTCAGTCCTGCCAGAGCTTTGAACAGCTCAGGATTTATATGCCTGACCATGACCCAGGAACAGACACTAGCATTCACCTTTAAGCACTGGATCTGGGAGCAGCTTCACCTGCAGATCAGCTCCACAAAAAAAGGAGTGGAAGTGGTGACTCTCAGAACTGCAGCACTGGGCAGTGCCATTTGTTCTGCAGCAGCTCCATGTCTGCAGCAAAGACACTGAAACCCCAGATTTAACTTTCTCATCCTCAGGACGTGATTGCTGTGCAATCTTTCCAGTCACAGGGGAGTTCCTAACCAGCAAGACAGAGGTTAGGCAGCAACTATAGAAAGAACCATGTAAGTTCAATATAAAACACGGGAGGTTTTCTGAAGTTAGAGACAAACTGAGGACTCCTGTCCTTGCCCATAATGAAGGCTAAGCTGTACATTTGGAGGTGGTGGGTTTGATCCCTGATTATTTCGCAGAACCACAGAACTGTTGAGGGAGGCAGGGCCTTCCAGAGGTCACGGGCAGGGGCACCAAGAGCTGGTTGCCCACAACCACACCCAGCTTTTGAGAGTGTCTCCAAGGATGGTGACTCCACAGCCTCCTGGGGCAGCCTGTGCCAGTGTTTGTCACTCTCACAGTGGAAACATGTTTCCTGATGTTTGTGTTTATGCCATGGAAGGAAAAAGATCACCTGTAGGAAGTAGCACCATTTTATAAAAAAAAAGAACCAAAAAAACCCAAAACAAAAACAAACAAACAAAAAACCACACCAGAAAACAGACACTGCAGGTTTTAGAGATGCAGTCTGAAGTAGGATTTAACCTGCCACATTCACCAAGATAAGCCTCCTTGTCATTGATCTGTGTCACTGTTGCCATCCCTGGGCTGGGCAGTGAGATCTCTCCTCGGAGGCTCCACCACTGGGCTCTGGAAGGGTCCAGCAGGGACAGGAAAACTTCGTGCTCCTCTGAGATACACGAATGGAGAGAGGGCAGAATTAAAGTCAATGTCCTTAAAAGTGATCTGCAAGGAAGCTGAAGACCCCCCTTGTTGGTGGGTTTGGAAATCATTCTGAATCATCTCTGTGTTCCCATGTACTAGCCCAGTTTGAGTCACAGGACACCAGGGGGACACTGACTGCTCCGTGTCCCATCCTCGCTGCCCTTCATTTCCCCACCTGTAGAGCAATGACGGGTCACCTTTTTGTTGTAGCATTGCAGGCAAACGAGTTTTCATCACCCAAACCTATGGGTTCTGACAATACCCGAATTCCACATTTTACCACCCCGGGAAGTCTGATCATCAGGACAAAAAAAAATAATAAAACAACCAAAAAACCCAACACTTTTGTGGCTCTGCCCACGAGATAACAAACGAGAAGCGATCCGGGGAAACTGGACGGCCGGGAGAGGAGCGAAGCTGAGGAACGGGGCACCTCAGCCCTCATAGATGACCCCAACCCCTGAGGGACGGACTGGGCGGCCACCGGTGCCGCCCGGGATACCCGCCCCCTGCTCAGGCACACACGGCTGCTCAAAGCCCCACCTCTGCACACCCGGGGCGGGACGTGCCGCTCAGGGACCCGCCGACGAGTCCGCCGCGCCCTCACGGCCCCACCCGCCGTAACATGGCGGCCGCGCCCTGAGGCGGCTACTGCCGCCCGCGTTCCCATTGGCTGGCTCTGAGCACCTGACCCGCGCCCGGGCGCTGATTGGCCAGTGCCGTGAGGGGGCCTGCTAAGATGGCGGCCGCGGGGCCGCCGCTGAGCTGGTGAGCGAGTACCCCGTGCCGGCCGAGCCAGGCGGGGGCAGCGGGACACGGCGGGGCCAGCGAGACACGGCCCCGCGCTGCCCCGCCGGGGGTAGAACGCGCCGCAGTCTGAGGGCAGCGCGGCAGACCCAGTCCCCGCCCCGTCCGGCGCCGTCCCGGCGCTGTGGGCGGGCGGGAGGGTGTGCGAGCCATTCCTTGTCGCTCCCGCCGCGGGAGCGGGAGGAGCGGAATCCTTTCCCTGAGGGGCTCTGTGTCCGTGTGTGCCCACGGCGGAGGGACAGCGAGGGCTTGGAAATCGGGGCCGTGGCGTTGTTCGTGTTTCTAACACGAAACGCCCCGCAAAGACGTAATTGGGCTCCTTTAACCGAGGGGTGGGATGGGTTTGAATTAGTTTGTGTGTGATGGGTTTGAATTAGTTTGTGAGGTAAAACGTAAATAAATCCTTTCTTACACCTTTCACAATAGCTTAGGAGGGTTGGTGTCGTATGAACCCTGTACACTGGAAGGGCTACATTAAAAAAAAAAATATTGAAGGTAAGATCAGTGTAGAAAACAAAACCAACTCTTTTCTGAAAAAAAAAAAAAAAAAAAAAAAAGTAAAAAACGGTGTATCTTTCGCAAAAATTCCAGCAAGTTCAACCCAAAGTTTGGTTTTCTTTGATGAACGTATGAAAGTGTGTAACTACCATCAGTTTCTCTCACCGCATCTAGAATTTATATATTGCATTAGTGAAACTGTTCTTCTGTACTGTAAGGAATATGTATTTTACTGTTGAAAACCTGGTGGAAGTAGTATGTCTGTAACTTCCACAAAGAGGAAATCTGGAAACACTGTGTAGGCATCCTCTTTTATTTTATAAATTATTCTGGGTTTTGTTTCTTGGGGGCAGGTGTGGCCTTTGATTTTTTTGTATTGCAATGTATTTGTGGTTTGTTTGTTTTTTTTTTTTTTTATTAGGGATATTACACCAAAAAATGGCAAAGAAGTATTTTTCTCACATGAACTTTATGACAAATATTCCCTGTCTCCAAGCCTGTCTGAACTGTGGCATTTATCGAGAAGGTATATTGTGTTACATTATCACCTTGTGCTCTTTGTTATCATCCCATGGACAGATTGCTCATACTGTTTTGGGGAAAGCTGGGTGTTCTCTGGCACACAGGGGTTTGTTACTGACTCCTCCAGCAGGTCTGTGCTTCAGCTGCTGTGACACCTCAGAGAGCAGGAGGAGTCCAGGTTGGGCCCTCTGGGATTCTCTGTCTTGAAGGGGGTATTTTGAGGGTTTTGGGATAGAGGTTGGGTTATTTGTTGGGGCTGGTGCCTGTTTTTGCTTTCTCTTACCTACCAAAGAGGGATGAAGTTTGACCCACACCCTTAACTGGTCAGGTGAGGGGCCTGTAACCCACAAACCAGACCTAATGCTTTTTAGGGATTCATGTCTCGCTGTCTGTCCGTGTCTTCTCACTTTGTAGAAGGGTGACAGTCCTGTACACTGAAATCCTTTTCACTTTTGTCTTTTGGAAGTAGCCAGCACTGTTTTCATAAACCCAACAGCATAGGAGCGTAAACCCAACTCCATAGGTGCAGTGGAGATACAATTAATTCCTTGATTATTGCAGAAACTCTGTAGAGTGTTAGCTGAAGGCAGGGAAATGAAACTGTGTGAACACAGGTGGTACAGGCAGTGTTGTTTGTGCAGGTTTTATGTCCTTTTTTTTCCTTAAGGAAGCAGAATCAGTGTTTATTTTGCATAGTGAAAGGCCTATCTCGTGCTGCTGGATCTGAGCATTTGGAGGGCTGTGTTTAGACCACTGGTTTTCCTCAGCAGTTGTGAAGCTGGTAGGGAGGTGCAGGTGTCTCCTGGGGAATGAACAGGCACAGCACAGAACCACGGAGCTCCTGTGCCCCGAGGGGGAGGTTCAGCATGGGGGGAGATAACTTGTGCAAAAGGGGAATTACTGTATTTTTATGAACTGACAGTGAGAACATGCCACTTGAGAGGAATACCTGCTCTCTCTATCCCACATCTTTAACCAGAGAAGGCTTTTCTGGTTCATCTCTGTTGGAGCAGCTTTCCTTGGAACCAGCAAGAGATGAGCACAGCCCTCACAGCTCGCTGCTGGTACACCTGATACTACTGTAGGATTCTTCCTTTGAAGGGTGTCTGGAGTAGACACTCAGGAGTGAGATTGTGTTCAGCTGTGTGTGGTTCAGGAGGGTTTACAGCCAGGAGAGGCCAGAGAGGTTGCAACTGGGAAGAATCAGGAACTGATGGAACTGGATTGTTTGGCCATAGTCAGGGGGCAGAGAAATTAAACCTCTTGGAGCAAATATGAAAGGAAAAGCTGGAGGAAATTTGCCAGTTTTTATATTGGGGTTTCTGATAGATATTTACTTAAGTCTTGGTGTAGAAGCTGTGAAGGCAGGGTGCTGATAAAATGAAGGGGCAAATTTAAGCTGTCAGCTCCAGTGAAGGATAATGCTGTAAATATGGGCAGAAAAGCTCTGTCAGATTATTTTGGTTTGCACCCCGGTGAAGCCTGTGACAGCACTGCATACTGAAATGATCTTGATGTGCTGCCATTTCATTCAGTGCTGAATGCAGCCAATTTGAGCTGCTAGAATTTCTTGATGTTCCTACATTGGCATATCTGAGTCAGCATCTTGTCGCTGCTCCAGCTTAATTAAATTTGCCAGTTTGTGCCACGGGGATGGACACCTCCCTGTATCCAGAGAGACAGCTGTGAAGTGTTATTAAGAGCTGTGGATGTGATACTGCTGGGTTTGAATGACACTAGAGATGTTTCCTACTGCTGAAATAGTATCTTAAAAATATGCTTTTTCCAAGATCAGCAGTTAATGTTCATTTTGTCTGCCTTAAGTATTTTCTCTCTTAAGAACAATTATTTTAAATAGAGCAGGGCTGAGCTAGTTGGCCTTCATGTACTGGAGTGGTTTTAAGAACCAGCTTTGTTGTTTTTAGGGCAGCTGTGCCCCTTGCCCTGGCCTAATGTCATTTGTGGTGGCTCATTCCAGCATTATTTAGAGTAGAAAATTAAACTCTTGAACTGTGTGCTCTGTAAGAATTTCTTCATTAAAATCTGGAGTTTCTGGTGTTACAATGAAGTAATTTAAATTTTCTTCTTTTACAGTGAAAGACTTAACTAGAAAAAGCCTTTCTCCTTTACTATCATAACTGACTTTTAAGTTTGACCTTTCTGAGTGCAAACTGAACGCCAGCCATCAGTGAGTGATGAAATGTGGAGATTCTTTATCTTTTCATTAATGATGGGTGTTTCCAGAGCAAGGAATCCATTTCACATTTGGCTTGTTACCTCAATCTTGAGTATACAGACTAATACAGACACCAGTTTGTTTAAGGAGAAAAAAACTCACTACTTTTTTTTTTCCTGTTTTTAAACAAGTGGCAAACCTTCTGCTGGTACTGAGGATGAGTCTGACTGTCCAGGTGGAGTTTCAGAATAAGAGAAATCCTCTGGCACAGACCAGGAATTGGAAGAGCACAGTGTCTCTCAGAGCATTTTGCTGGATTTGAAGTTTAGGCTTGCATGACTGCCTTTATTTATTAATTCTGACAAATATTAGTATTTATGTGAAAAGTGCAGATTCTTTGTTACTTTTCTTTCAGAGAGGCAAAGAAAAATGTGGAAGCCCTGGGAAGCTCTTCAGAAAACAGGCAGCCTTGTGACGTGCAGGCCACAGAGTCAGCTGAGGCCAAAGGCACAAGTGATGGTCATCCTTTTCCAGAACCCAGGCTCCCCTATCCATTCACCTCTTGTCTGTCTGAGAAGGAGCAGAAAACATACTTATATCTGATGACTAAGTACTCAAAAAAAATCAACCATTTTCAAGTTAATGCAGCAAGTCAAAGGGAACTGTTCACATATTTGGTGAGTGCACAGCTATGGACACAGCAGTGTCACAAAGGGAGCCATACAATTTTTTTGTTGCAAAGAATAAAGGGGAAGGTGGGAACATTGGTTTTTAAATTCAGTTTGTTCATGTGCTGCCACATCAGTGCTCACAGAAGTAGAAGGGCTCGAGTGCACCCTTGCAGCTGAGCCTTAGCCCTGTGTTTAAATGGCTGTGGCCTTGTTGGATGGAAGTATCATTTGAGCTGAATCCTGTAAAGTGTAATTAACAGCAGATGTTTTTGAGCCATTCCATTTGGTTTCCCATGCTACCTTTTTAATGCTAATTCCTTTGTTTTATGCCATAACAGTGGGAATGTCATTCCTGGGCACATGAGTATCTGCTGCGTTGTTGTTACTTTTGGTACAATTTCTGGGGAAGTCAGAGTCAGATACTTTGTGGCTTTATCATGTAAACTTCATCAACAGTGTCTTGCAGCCTTTCTTTTTATAAAGCACCATACCAAAAGAGGCTTGCTGTTTGTTGGGTGGTGGTGTTTTGTTGGTTTGGGATTTTTTTTTTTAAGGAAATGGGCCTCACAAAAATTTCTTTTCCTGGAGTGAACCTCTGAGCATTTGCCACATTGAGCAGCAAGTGGAATCTACACCCTCCCTCGTACCATTGCCTGTACTGCCTCTCTGGAAATTTTGCTGGTTACATACCTAGCACAGAGGATTCTGTTCTGTTTTAAAAGTAGATTTTTCCTTTCCCCAGCAAATGAAAGAAGTGGTAAACAATGAAATAGCAGAATTTATGAAATTTGCCCAAAACGCTGCGAGAAGCTGTGCCCAGGATTACGATGCCATCTCGGAAGATGCACTGCGTTATACTGAGGTCAGTGCCAGGTGCCATTCCATCTTTTCTGAGCTAATCCCATTGGAGTTGTGTAGGAGATACACAGGCACTGCCCGTGGGATGTGCTGGTCCCTGAACTTGTGCTGATTGCATGTTGGGATGAGACAGGGGTGGCATTTCCCTTGGCCTGTGGTTCACTGTAGCCAGTAAGGTATGATACAAATGAAGGCACTGAACACAATATGTGAAAATAGTTACTCCTCAATTAAATAAAGTGCATCTTTATATTTGGGAACAGAGAAGTTGCATTTTAGGTGTGCATTTACATTAAGAAGTTGCTCCTAGATACACACCACTGGACTGAATGTTAAATTCTACAGTAGCATGTTACAGAGGCTCTTTAATCAGAGGTGACTCAGGCTTTAATCATAATCATCTGCAAGTTCATGCTGTGTTAAATATCCACTTTGGTGCTTCTAAGATCAAACATGAATGCAACTTCATGTATCATTCTTGGGTTTTGGAAAAGGAATTCCAGAATAGAGGTTCATTAAACTTTCCCATCAATGGGTTGATGCAGAGTTTGGGCACATGTTCAGGCAAAAACCTTGCTTGCATTTTTTCTTTTCCCTAAAAATTAGGATAGATTTTGCAATTTTATATCTTGTGTCTATTTTTCAAAGTGATTTTGTCATCTGGTCACAAAATGTGTCTCCAAACTTGAAATCCTGTTTATTGTAAGGTTGATACCCAGATTTAAAAATGAAATAGGGGCACATATTTAGTTTTAAACAATACTTGCAAAAATAATTCAGTCTAGTCACTAAATAGAAGTGAAATGTCTTAAATGCCTAATTCAGATATAAAAGTTATCTGGAGCTGACATGACAGTGAGTTTCAACACCAGTGGAATCATCCTGTCCTTACCTTTGTGCCTTTTACCTAGGCCTGTGTAAACTGGGTGGTAACACAGAAAAATACTAGTTCCACTAAAAGTTAATAAAGTAATTACTTGGTTTAGCACAGTTCAAACTGTACTCAGCTGTATTTTTTAGTGATTGGTCTGAGCCCGTGTGCATACATTGTTAGTCTTGCATATGGAGGGCTGAGGAGAATTTAGAATATGTGTCAGTTCTGACACCAGGGATTGTAAGAATATTGTAAATCTCAGTAGGTGGATTTGCAGGTATCTGCAAATGTTTAAATGCAACTTGCAATGGCAGAAAAAACTTCAAAATGAAATTCTTATGAAAGATACAAACGCATAAACAATTTTTGTTTTTACCTTAGGAATTGCTCCGTGCCTGTATTGGACATGTGCAAAAGTATCCCGAGTTTTACACGCTCCAGGAGATCATGAGTATCATGGGAGGGAAGTTCCAGACACAGCTGACCTTCAGGCTGGAAAAAAATCTTCTTGCAATGGTAATACCTTATCTGTTGGTTTTGTGGTTTGTTTTTTTCAAATAAGTAGAATTACATCAGGATTGTGTTACACAAGGATTTTTGCAGCTATTATTCAGTGCTTGGATTAGGGGTTATAATTGATAATTAAAATTATTAATTAAAACTTTAATAAAATTATTTTGGTAGTAAAGCTGTCCACTGTATGTTTGCCATAAGAAGATTACAGTAATAGTATATTTTTCATATAACACAACTTTCTAATGCAGCTGCATAAATTATGAGTGTTTTTCCTCACAAGACATGCAATGTTGGGTCAGCAAGATGCTGTTAAAGCTGTTTCCTGACTCTCTTTGCTTTCTCCAAGGGTACAGCAAGACGAGGTAAAACAGATTTCCCTGCCATGCCCGTTCAGCTGCCCACAGATTATGAAACTGTGACATCTATTATAACTCCAGAAAAAAAGGCTCAGATTATGCATAATGTGAGTTACCTTCTCATTGGCATTTTGAAGGCATATTTTGTACCCAAGTGCGCTTTGATCCTGTTTCTGGGTTGAACAGTTGTTAGATTCCATTCCACCTCACCATTAAATAGCTGCTGTTTGTGTTCTTCCACCGTGAAAATGGAGGAGTTTTGCATTCTCTAGAACTGATTTTTTTGGACTGTTTTTTCCAGATAATTTGTTATCAGCTAATTTAAGGAGTTTGTTCACATATCAAACCCCAAACTTTGAACAGAAACACTGTGATTGCAAAGACACTTTTGCTGAAGAAAGGAGCAGAGGAGATGCAGGAGAATGGGCTCTGCCCCAAGAGATGTTACAGTTGTAAACAGAATATGGTGATGTGGCAGAAAACATGAGCACAGCTGGATTTTCCTTCCTTCTCTCATGGTGCTTCCATTATCTTCTTGGTCCTTTTTCATGGACATGTGTCCTCACAGTGTTTATCAATTTTATCATGTCAGTTCTGAATTTGTATTCTTCATGGTTTTATATTTGTTTTGAGGTTCTTTATATGTAATTGGTATTGAAACTGGGCAGTTCTAACCATACTTCAGTATTACACGTCTTTACTATGCTATCACTTAACTCATAAGAAAATCTGTAGTATATATTTGCAAGTTAATCTAGTTTGGGGTTTTTTTCTTCAGTGCACTCCTGTATTTCATGATCATCTAAATTCCTGTTCAACCCAGTGATTCATATTTATAGGAATGAACTAAAGTACAAGTTAAGATGATACGTTATCTCATGCTGCAATGTGATTGCATAAGATTTAGCCAGAAACCTTCAGGGGAGTTTTCTTCTTTTTCATTTCATTCTGAAGCACTGTGGTGGTATTTGGACTTTTGTTTGTTTGGGTTTGGAGTTTTTCTTGTAAATTTAAATCTGTATATTTCTTAAAAAAAAAAAAAAAAAGAACTTTAAAAGAAATAATTTTTTTCTTTTTCTGTTTAGGATATTAGTTCAGATTCAAATGCAGAAAAACTTGCTTTGAAATACTGTCCTCAAGTTGTTCTAAGTAATCAATCATTATTTACTTTACTGAATAATCATGGACTAAACTACAAGGAGCAATGGGAAATTCCAGTTTGTGTTAAAATGGTCACTGTTGCAGGTATGGGATGTTTTTGTTTGTAACAGTTCGGGGTTTTGTCCAAAACCCCGAAAGCTGATCTGGGGTCACTTCTTATAGTTTTCTACACCTTGTTACTGGGAATAGTCCCAACCTCTACAGTTATCCCCATAAACATTGAATTTGGGCACACAGATATTCAGATATTTTCCACTCAGGGAATAAACAAAGCAAACCAGAAAACCACTTTAATATCCTTTTGCTTTTCAAAACTGGGAGTTGTGATCCTTGGAAAGAAACCAACTGCATGAAACTGTTAAAATTATCAAGTGAACCGATTTCAATAAGCTAAAAAAAAGAGCCATTCTGAAAAACAAAAGAGCAAACATTTTCTGGAATTAACAGTATCTATTCACATCATAGAATAGTTAAAAAGTAGTGGACATCCATGGAGATACTTTCCCCATTTGCAACAAAAAATATTTTTAATAAACTGATGAATTCATCTGAATGCTTTACTTTGGTTGTCAAGCCCTCCTTCAGTAGCCTGAATATAGATTTCCTCCCCTGATAACCTTTTTCTTTTTTTTTAAAATACACCAGGGTTTATTCATTATGAGTATTTATAATGTTTGTTGTCTTGGAATGTCCTTGTGTGCTTTCTAAAGCAGACTTGAGGATAGTAAATAAGCTATCAAATATCTGCAAATTTTACAAATGTTGTGCTTTCCAACACGAAATTAAATTGCTTTATCAGTAAAGATATGCCTGATTCCTTTTGTTATCAGCATTACAGTTTTTAAACTTAATTTTGGATCCCAAGTGAACAGCTAAAGGACACTCAGAATGTGTTAGAAATACCTGGTGTTTCTTGAAGGGTTTCTCTGCTCCTTCCTCTTCCACCTTTCCCTGTGACCAACCCCTTGCATGAATTTATTTTTGTGTTCCCTGTGTGCCTTTGCTTTCTGTGTGATGTGGGCAGGGCATGACTGATTTTTAGTTTTTGATTTTCTGTTTGTTCCCATGGAAGGGTGGTGAGGTGTGAACGAGCAGCAGAGCCCAGACACAGGGACTGATTAAAGACAAACAAAGTGCAGCCTTCACTTCTGGGCAGTGAGACTTAACAAAGAAAAACTGACTCTCACCCAAGGGAGAAAAAAAGAGCTTTTTGGAGAACAGAACACATTTGATGATAAAATGCAGTGTAAGAAGTGATGGGTCCTAAATTCTTATTTTCCAAATAGCCTATTTAGAACTGTGTTTGAAATGTGCTCAGCTGGTAACGTGGTGTGTGTTGGTGCTGCAGCCCATCATCACTCACACTGCACCTGCACATACTTGTGTTTTCTGTTGTTGGTGAATGAGGGGATCGTTTTTCATTTCTTCTTCTGTGAATGTGGAATGGATTTGACCATAATTGAAAATTGAAAGATTTATTATTTACATTATACAACAGTCTTTCTTCCTTTCATTTAATATGTACTCAATCTCTTTTCGTTCTTGAAAAGGTAGCAAACCAGCTAAAGTGGTTTATGTTGATTCACCTCTGCTGAGAAAAGAAATGACAGTAAGAGAGAGGAATCAAATCTTCCATGAAATTCCAATGGATTTCCTAGCAACTAAAACATCCTATGTTTCAGTTTCTGATGTATGGATGGACAAACCAGCTGAGGACAATCTGTTCCAGTGGGATGTATGTAGGTTCACCTACTCTTAAATAAAACAAACAAAACAAAAATTTGTGTTCTATTTCCTAAATTGCTTTTTTTTTTCTAATAATGAAGGAAAATTTAGGTTTTCTGTTGACGTTTTTTCTACTGCTGAGTTATGGACCCTGTTATAAAGTGTCCATAGAGTTCCTTTAAATGCTTCTACTCCATGGGCACCTCAGCTTTACTGCTGACTTCATTAAAAAATGTGTTTGGATCAGTTACTTCACTGGGAAAAGTTCTCTGAACCTTATTTCCCTCTGGAAAGGCCTTCAATTCATAGGACTCAATTATTCCATGTTAAACAGGAACATTTTTTCCATTACTGCCCCTCTTTCCCAGCAGTCAAAATGTGGATAGTAGAACATTTCTCATGTTTTCAACTTGACTGTGCCTTTTTTGTGATTAACACATTCCGTTTCTTGCTTTGATTTATTGGTTGGTTTTTCTTAATATTATTACTTTTTCATCCCTGTGTTAAGGTGTCCTCTGATACCTACCAGTGCAGGAAGATTCCCCTTCCAGATGACACAGGGATGGACTTTGATGATGATGTTACAGAACTGGAAACTTTTGGAGCATCTGCCAAGCTCTCAAGAACTTCTAAAGTGGAAAGTACTTTTCCTGCAGTTAGTAACACTGCTAAAGTTTTATCTCATGGCCTAAACATGGGGGGGAAAATTACATCCACTATAAACAGTGGAGATGAAGAAGGGAAAACCCCCCTTTGTGAGCAGGAAGTTTCAGCATGTGCCAGTTTGCAGCTTCCATCATTAGATGGCATTCCAGGCTTCAGCCCCGGAGAAAATTCCCCCGGTGAGTCAGTGGAGACAGGACTGAACAAAGCACGGGGTGCTGGGACCAAGGAAGTATTGGACAATGAAACAAACCCAAATCCTCTGCCTGATGCAGCCAGTGACAAGGAAGAGTCTGATGCTGCCCAGAGCCACGAGACTCAGCCTCCCTTCTGCAGCAGTGACACGGATGAGGAACGTTTGGTCATTGATTCAGAGAGTAAAAACACTGACTGGTGCCAAACAACTGCCCCAGCCACTGCAGAGCCTGCAGGATCTCCTTCTCCCACCCAGATCCCTTCAGCAGGCGTGGCTGATGGCTCAGATTCCATGGATCAGGGAAAGAAAGCCTGCAGGAAACCCACCAGGAAGTTGTCCAAAGAGCTGGATCCTGTGGGACAGATTCTGAAAATGCAAACAGAGCTTCTCAAGTCACCTTCCCAAAAAGCTCCCGAGCCAGTGGGGAGCTGTGACAATCCTAATGCTGTGCCAGCCCAGGGCCCTCTGTCCCCAAAACCACTGGTGACCTCCAGCACAGAAGCTGGGCCAGCCCCTGCCTCCAATCCCAGCAGGAACACCTGGACTTGGCTCTTTGAGGGAGTGCCAAAGAGTAAGTTAAGTGTGTTCATTGTGTGAGGAGGAAAATGTCCAATTTTTGATAAAATTTCACAGAAAAACATTTGAATCCTTCATCTGAAGAATGTGGTAATGGAGCACCTGTTACATTTACTTAGAGATGTGCCTTTAATTCTCCCACAGAGAAGGTGCTGTTAATTCCTGTCTTGCACATATAAGGGAACATTTTGGGAGCTTTTTGTCCACAGAGCTGAATGTGAAATACTGTTTTACTGTAGGGAAACAAAAAGCTGCTGTGCACAAGGTTTTTAAGCAAGGAAAAGAAATAATTTGGTAGTGAAATGAGTTTTTGCACCAAAATTCAAGTATTTTAGTAGTCTGGTCTGCGAAAACAGATTCTTGTCAATCAAAAATGGAACTATTTGACTTTCTTGGTAGAATAAAAATATAATCAAATTATGCATTTGATCATGTAGGAATTAATCTTAATACTTGATTACTTAATCTGTAGATTAACACAACTAATTTAGTTGAAATTGTGTTACCACTTCCTACATTTTTATTGATTTAACTGAATTTCAGTAGTCACTGCCAGACCACTTCTCCTCCCTCAGTCTGAAGGGCTGAGCAGCACGATACTCTTCCTGTTTCTCTGTCTCTTAAACAGGCAGAGTCTGGAATTCAGGTATTTGATAATAGAAATATGATTTTTTTTTTTAATAGAGATAGTGAAACCAATATGCTGGCACGGCAGAGTGACTGTGTGAGAATAGGAAGCATAATGATACAGTTTGACACCTCTTTGTATGTTTGTTTTGCAGAAAGCCAGAGTTAAGTTATGTATTTTACTAACAGTTATGTATTTTACTAACAGAAAATAACTTGCAGTCCCTTGCATGACAACATCTCCCACAGTGTACATTTCAGAATATGTTCAAAATGCACAGAAGCTCCAAGTTTAATGTTAAATGTATTTGTAACATTTCTACAAAAATGGAGTCACAGCTCTATTTGTATGAGGAATCTAATAATGTGGGGTTATTTAAAAATACACTCTTTAATAAAGTGAGCATTTTCCAAATGTAATCATTTTTAAACTTTTTTTTAATATGTAAGTGACTTTTTTGTGCCTAATGAAATAGTTTCCACCTGAAAATCTCAGGAAGCAAAACAAATTTTAGGAAAAAACCAACCAACCAAAAACCATCCTACAAGGGAAAAAGCTAATTAGCTTCATGGTAAAAACTGTACAAGCTTGTGATTTCCTGTATTTTTTGTTTTCTGTAGGAAAGCTGCCAAGTGAACTCGAGCTGCTTGAAGAAGCCCCCTCAGAGTACAGAGCCCCTCAGGAGGGCAACGTGGTGTACAAGCTGTTCAGTCTGGGGGAGCTGCTGCTCCTGGTGCGCTGCACTGTCCAGAAAGTGAGGTCACTGCCACGGTACCACAAAAAGAAAAAAACCCAAAAGGTGCTTTTAGCTTTTCATGGCTTGGTTTTGTTTAACAGTTGTGCCCAAGTGGCACCTCTGGCATTCCCAGTCCCTTACGGCATTTGTGCTTTCACTCAGACAGTTTGTACATTTAATTAGAACTCTGCAGTGTGGGTCTTCTTTAAGGCAATATTTGCTGTAGGAAGAGAGGGAAGAATAACTTGTGATTACTTTAAAGCTGCTTGATTAGAAGATAAGCAAGTATGAATCTCCGTTTTTTACTGCAGTAATATGCAGGGATAATGATACTCATGTCACCTCAGGTCAGTTTGAGCTGTTCTTAGCAGTTAATGCAGTGATGGGGGTTTGGCCCAAGGCTTTGAGAATGTTCATGATCTCCCGTACTTCCAAGCCCAATTCAGCCTCGCTGTTGTGCCTGGTTAAGCAGAGAAGTAGGAGATAAAATGAACAACACAGGACACAAAAAGAGATCCTATTCATTCTGCTTGAAGATACTATGGGGTACATTATCTTAGCAAATGGTTTATCTTATGGAGTAAAGTGGTTTAAATGCAATTCTAATGGAAATATGGCTTGTAACATAGGAGAAAGGAAGCTTATTCTGTAGTGCTCAGTCGTGTATTACTTTGTCCAGTCCTCTGAACCATCCAGCACGTCTGACGTGGTGTGTCCCTCCTGAGGGGACAGAATTCCAGCAGGCAGGCTGGGATTGTGTCGGGAGGTGCTTATGCTTTGTTGGAGAGGAAGTGGATCCTCGGAGCTCTGGTTCCTGACCAAGATTCTGTGCTCAGAATGTTCTTTTGAAGAAATAGCATCCCTTTGCTAGTGATGCACTGCTCAGAAATGCCTGTGAATAGCTGCTTGGTTTGTTATTTGCAAACTGAGCACTTGGTTATTTTTTTTAATTTCTGCTGCAATTCCAGCTGTGGTTTGTCAGTGACAAGAGGTTTGTTTTCTCTGTCAGTGTTAACACACAAAGGTTTACCTCTAATTTCAAATGAGACTCCAAGCATTAGGTTCTAATTTCAAGTGAGATACTCACAAGAGGAATAAATGGCAGGATTCCACTACTAATCAGCAGATCAGAAATACAATGTATTTTTTCTTGAATTGCTGCAGAGGGCAGTAGAGCACAGAAGTGTAAACTTCAAATTAATTTAGTTGCATGTAAAAATGACTCAGCAGCAGAATTTTATCATTTGTAAAAGCTTACCTGTCCTTTTTTATTGTTCTTTTTTTTGGTTTTGTCCCTGTCACCCTCCTCTATTTAATACAGTCTCTGTACCCCAGGGTTTGTACTGTGGGTTTCACAGAGTGGGAGCCATCAAACAAAGTCTGTGTAATGTCTGTGTTGCTCTAGCTATGGTGGGGGACTGTGGGCATTATAAACTACAAAATGTAGTTAAATTGTGGACATTTTTGGACAGTGAGTGCTGATTTTTCTTTTATTCTCTCTTTTACAGCTTACTCCCATATTCCTGCTGCCCAAACTAGAATACCAGGCCTATTACGGTGTGGAAGCTCTGACAGAAAGTGAAGTGTGTCAGTTGTGGACAGAGAGTTTGTTGCATTCTGAATGTTTATTTTATATTGGTAAGTTCATGTGTTGATTTTCTTCCTAAGAAATGTGTATGTATGTAGAACAGAGGAGATCTGTTCTACAGATCTAAAGGTCTAGCCCATATGTCCTTATTTATTTTAACTTTCCCATTTTGTTTTCCACTTTTGAGTATGTGTTTTGTCTAAAATTTGAGTTGGGTTGAATGAGGATTTAGATAAATAGTATCCATTAATGTTTGTTTTGCAGAACTGCATTTATTCTTCTTTTAAAGACAAATGTATCTGTAATGTGGATTCAGTTCTCTGAAGTTAGAAATCTTCCTGACTTAAAGTATCTTTGGGGTTTGGGGGGAGTTTTTAGCTTTTGGGTTTTTAAATGTCTCATATGCATCATGAATTATCACAGGAGTGGTAAAATACTTCTTGATGAAATGTGAGCTGTGAATATATCTTATCACTTTGTGAAAACATTATAAATAAATTAGTTATTGTGTACCAAAATAGAAGAAGAACAGAGGAGCAGGTATGTGGCTCAGAGGATGCTGATTCTTTGGCCTTTCAGCTTGCAGTGTGGGAAAAGGCCAAATGTTATTTATTTATCATTGAAAACAGGAAATAATGTTGTTATTTCTACACTGATAATGTGTGGACAGGTAAGATACAATGAGGAAAACCAAGCAAGAGAGTAAACCAGGTTCTGTCATTGAAAAACTGGAGAAATTACACTCTTTGAAAACACTTCACAAGTGTCTCATATCTGAGGTGCTGGAAACAATCTTCTGGCTTGGCAGTACTGGAATTCCTAATAGGAAGAAGAAAAATACACAGCACACTATTACTGAGAGCTTCTTCCCATAGCTGGAGAGTTCCTCAGGAATTCTGAACACTGGATGATTTCACTTCAGTGTGTTTTCCAAGTTTTCCATTGTCCATCTCTAAATGATCCATGACATTTAATCTCCTAATATGTGATATGACCTGAAACATCTCTGTCAAAGAGATGGTCTTGGTACTCCTTGTCCTGCAGATGGAAACATGAGATAATGTAATGGAATCCATGGTTTGGAAGTAACATTCCATGAGAATGGAGCAGGAAACCACAAATCTTGTGTAGAAGAGATGGCAGCTGAAATCCAGAGCACAGCAATTAAGAGGAATTAAAAGACTGGGAATGTTAGCAGAAAGATAGACTTGTAAGGCCATTTATTCAAAATGGCATAAGCCAAGCATGTCAGAAATGCAGTGTTATGAGGCAAGTTTCACTGACAAGTGTCCCATAGAAAATGCTGTGTTCATGTTTGTACAATGACATTTTAACATCAGGAAAGTGTTTGTGTTTGTTGGGATGTATGTTCTGTAGAGAAACTAAAAATCCATATAAATAATGTGGCCAGATTTTTTTAACAACCCTTTTAACACATGGAGAGCTTTCTGATACCGATTATCTTGTAATTAATGAGGTTTTAAAAGGGAAAATTTGCAACTTGGTGGCTGGTTGATATTTAGAATGTGCTTGGCACGTGCTGAGAGTGAGGGTGGTGCTGTTTGTGCAGTGAATGCTCTGCAGTGGGGCTGCCTGGCATTCCTGTAGGAAAAGCCTGGTTTGTAGGGTTGTTATGGCAGCAGTGGTGGCCTGTGGTTGCCTAACCTTTCCACTTGTGCACTGTATTACAGTTCTGCTGTTGCTGACTCACAGCAGAGTGCTATTTTAGAAATGCCCACTTCAGCTTTATAATTTTTCTATACAAGTGTTGTATCCTATCATAGAGTTATAGGGTTTATGTGAAATGTAGTGTATTTGAGGTAGTAGTTTTGCTGATCCCATGTTTGTCTGCTCTCCATATTTAATGGAAATGATGTTTCTAATTTTAAACTTGAAAAGCAATATTTGCTATGATTTTTCCCTTCCTTAAAAAAAAACCCTCACAAAGAGCTAATTGTGTACACAGTTCTCCATTTCTAACTATATCTTACTGTGCAATAGAGAAGCATTTCTTCTCTTATTATTTAATAAGCAGCCCAGTATATTGAATTGCACTGCAATTTGGCTGCCTGGAGAAAATGTTATCAAGGGTTTTATAACATTTCCGGAGTCAAAAGCAGTGGAACTGCAGGGAGAGAGTGATGTGTTTGCTGAGCACACAGAGGGAGCAGTGGAGCTCTGTCTAATCTGCCATCAGATATCAGATACAGGGTACGTGAGGCAGGGCTTGGCAGGAGGCTGCTCAGCCAGCACCCCTTGGAACAGAGACTGCTGGCAGGGCAGGAGACAGGCTGGGACACTCCTGCAGTGCAGGAGAAGACAGGCTGGGACACTCCTGCAGTGCAGGAGAAGGCAGGCTGGGACACTCCTGCAGTGCAGGAGAAGACAGGCTGGGACACTCGTGGCAGTGCAGGAGAAGACAGGCTGGGACACTCGTGGCAGTGCAGGAGAAGACAGGCTGGGACACTCGTGGCAGTGCAGGAGAAGACAGGCTGGGACACTCCTGCAGTGCAGGAGGAAGCAGGCTGGGACACTCCTGCAGTGCAGGAGAAGACAGGCTGGGACACTCGTGGCAGTGCAGGAGAAGACAGGCTGGGACACTCCTGCAGTGCAGGAGAAGACAGGCTGGGACACTCCTGCAGTGCAGGAGAAGACAGGCTGGGACACTCGTGGCAGTGCAGGAGAAGACAGGCTGGGACACTCGTGGCAGTGCAGGAGGAAGCAGGCTGGGACACTCCTGCAGTGCAGGAGAAGACAGGCTGGGACACTCCTGCAGTGCAGGAGAAGACAGGCTGGGACACTCGTGGCAGTGCAGGAGGAAGCAGGCTGGCTGTGCAGGGTTGCTCCAGCCCCACCAGCCATCCCTGGCCCATACAGAGGATTCCTGTGTCTCCTCCCTGGGTACCTGCTCATGGAACAGGCCCAGGGCCCGAGGCTGGCAGGCTGAGTGGCCTGGCCTTCAGCACACTCTGTTCATGTGTTTGAGAGAAACAGGGATTGAGAAACACTGGTTATTCCAGTGCTGTTTGTTTGGCAGCTCCTGGATACGTTTTTCCAGCAGCAGACCCTGGGGCCCACGGGAGTTCTGGCTCTGTGAGCTCTGAGGAGGCACAGGGTCACTGGGGGTTGTCCCTGTCCTCAACAGTCAGTTTGTACTCCCAGCCTGGGGGGGAAAGTCAGCTACAGATACAGAGTTGGGACTCCCAACATTTTGCCAGCTTTTGATACTGACAGAACACTCTTATTTATTCAGGTAGACAAGTTGAGGACTGCAGATTTTTGGTACTGCCATGTGGTTTCTAACAGAGGTAGATAAAAAAAAACATGTGGAAGTAATACCCACTCTGTGACAGAGCATCTCCCACAGCCTTTAATAGGATGCTGTTATCATGCTCTACTCAGAGATTCTTTCTGCTCTCTTTGAGGAAAATTTGCAAGGTAGCTGTGAAATTCTGCCTTTCAGTTTGTGTATCCAAGGGAGCTATGAAAAAATGGGATGTTGTGGGCTCTTTACAACAGAAAGCTTTGTCCTGCAACTCCAGGGACAATTCTCCAAGGGTGATAATATCCTGGAATTATGGACAGCTTCAAATGGGGTAAATATCTCATTCTCTGATGAATATCTCATTAATCTAATACCTGAAAGTAAGACTACTGCAATTATGTGTTTGGTGTAAGCAGAAAGGCAGACTTGACTTCTGAGACTATGCTATAATTTGAATTATTTTTAGTGAATTATTGTGTTTTATAATAAAGGAGTTTTTAAATCAAACTCTTTGTAAAGCCATAGACTTACAGCTCTTTTTAAAAATTTGCCCCAAGGTATGAGTGTGGAAGGGTGGAACAGCTTAGAAGTTCTTTTGTCTTGAAAAGGCTTAATTCGTCATCTCAGCCATCTTTTGTACTGTCAAATAAGTGTGGATGGAAAGTTCTCTGGGCCTCGGTGTGTGCCCCACAGCTGTTGCTCAGTGTTGGAGGGAGGAATCTCAGCTCAGCCTGGTGACTCAGCAGTGCTGGCCCAGGAGGTGACTCAGAGCCCCGGTGTCCCCAGGGCCTCCTGCAGGAGCTGCAAGGGCTGACAGGAGGTTGAGTTTTTTATTTTCTGTGTTCTGTCATCAAACGAGCTTGGAGCTCTGTCTTCCTCTTGCTGTTAGAGCACCTTGCCTGCCTGGTGATTTAAGTCCTCTGCTGCTCAGATAGGCAATCCTGCCTCTGCAAAGGGACTAATCTCTGTGACAAGTGTCCCAAATAAGGCACTTGTACTTGATCTAAGCAGTAAATAAACTTGGGATAACCTTTGCTGATTAATGGGAGCATTTTACCCTGACCATTGTTCACTTGTTTGCATTAAGTCCCTAAGAGAAACCTTGTGCAAGAATAGTTTACTTTCACTTGAATTCACTTGAAATCAGGATTATTTAAAAAATGGGTTGGAAAAAACCCTGTGTGTTACTGTATGAGTAACTCACTGAATGTCAGGTGTTTTCAGTTGGTCACTTCTCAAATATAATATACAATTATATAAGTTAGATGGGAGTAGTTCATAGGTATATTTTTTTATTATTTTATTTTTTCCCCATTATGTTGTCAATGAGTTTAGAAATAGAGAAGCCTGTGACTTGAGGAGAGGCTGATGAGGAATACAGAACTCAGATTTCTTTTTAATTGTTTTTTGAATGATGACTTCCAAGTCCCTTTTCCTCTAGTGAGCAACGCAGAACATTAAATCTAACTGCTTAGTCTTGCACAAAAGAAAAGTAACAAATGTGCAGTGTTTAAAACAAATCAGTTATCCTGGTGCATTATTTTTTTCTTTGTGAAAGTTCTTACTTAGTCTTCTTCCACAAGACATGAACTGCCAGTGACGCTTAGCTTGGGAGGTGAAGTGCTTTGGTTCAGCACTTTTAACTGTGCAGTTGAAGCATTTACACTTCCTGGGAGGGCAGATTTATAGTAAGGCAGTAAATTCACTGAGTAGGCTGGATTTGATTATGCTGCCTTTTCCTCATGCCCCTCGTGGGAGCTGGAATAGAACAGATTTCTGGGAAAACCCGGACGTGAGAGGGAACCAGGGGTGAGGGACGACCACACCCATGGCCAGGCTGTGCTGGGGATCTTTAGTGCTTACCAAGGGAAATGGGGGCAGCCTGCATTTGAAAAATGGGATGAGGAGAGCTTGGAATTGTTGCTCCTCGCTCTGTCAAGGCAAATAGTTTTAATCATTTGCCAGGAGCAAGGCTTGAGTTGTAAGTTGGGATTTTTCAGATGAGGAGGGAAAAAAATCAAGATACAAAAGTCAGAATCCCCAGTAAAATGGAATAGCACAATTGTTCATGTAATGTACCAGAATAGAAAAACAAGTATATTAAACTCAGAAGTAAATGTGTTGTAAATCAACTTTGATCTGTCCAGTGAGGAATCACAGTGACAAAGGTCAGGTGAACTTGGGAAGATACAAACTAACTGATGAGATGAAGGCCATGGGAAAATAAGGTTGTGTATCCCACACATCACCCAAAATGTAAGATTTCCTGGGGTCAGGGGCATCCCCCTGGTTTACAAAGACTGTCTGTACTTCAAGCAGCTCTACATTTATTATTGTGCATCATTGATAAATACTTTTCACTGTTCTGTGCTTTAAAAGAGTACAATTTTTTTATTCTTTTAAAAATGCATTAGTTCTGCATGTTGTGCTTTTACATTTGTTCATTTTTATTTTTAGTATATTCATTGCATTTCTTTTCAGGACATATAGATGTTTTCACATCAAAGCTTATTATGCTAGAAAAGATTTCTCCAGAAACTTTAAGGGAAAAACTTGGATTGATCAAGTGAGTATTTTTAGTAAGTTTTTTTAGCAATGAATTTGAAACCCTAACAAGCCTTGCAAAGCTACTACTTTTGGTATTTTTTTTCTTTCACAGGCCTGCAAATTCATTAAATATACTTCATCACATTTTGAAGAAAGTGTCTGAGTAAGTCCTCAACTCTTGTTAATTGTGTTTATTTGCAACATTCCCCAGCTAATCCTGTGTTTTCTGTAGAATGCTTGTCTACTCTGATTTGTATTTCTTCAGAAATATTTTACAGGTTCTCTTAGGTCTATCATGGCATAATGCAGTACTGTATAAAATGTGCTCGGCATTACAAGGTTTGTCCAAATGATGCAAAATAATAAGAATTTGATTTTTATGAACCAGTTTTTCAGGAGAGGAGACTGGACCCTTCTGAGCTGATTGAACAGTTTGCAGGAGTGAGTTGGAATATTATGTATATAGGCTGACGTGTAACATTTGGGCATCTGTTTTTGTTAGTCTTTTTGCTTAATTCATAAAAATAATACTGTTTGTGTTCACTTCTGCTTAGTTTGACTTAAAACAGCACATCTTTCTCTGTACAACACTGCAGCCTTTCCCCTGCTCCTTTATCGAGCTGCTTCAAGGCTTTCAGACTGCAAGTGGGTTAGGTTTTTTGTGAAGCAGGTTTCTTGCACTGAGTGCAAGTCTCTGAATTCAAATTACAGAGGAGTTTTCCTGCACTTGATAATTTCTGTAGCTTCCTGATTTAGTTGACATTTACCTTCCTGCAAACCTGTTTGCCCCAGTGTATACTGAAAGCACGTCTGTGCTTTGTGTCTGTGTCCACAGATGTATTTATGCTTTGTAAAACACTGGTTAAGGAACTGGAGTTTGCCCAATGTGGGTGGTTTTCAGTTGCATGTTTAGTTGAATATGATGACAATCTGTACATTGCTGATAAATTAGTACATTAAGAATACATTATAAGCACAGTAATTAGTATGTATTTATCAATACAGTTTAATTAATGCTTTCTTGTCCACAGTCTTTTTATAAAACAGGGACTGATAAGTAAATATCTAAAGATGTTTTGCTTTGCATTAAGAACATAATAGCTATTCAGATCAAATAAAAAACCAAACCACCCATTTAAATACTGTTTTTCATTTTGATCTTCTCTCTTTTTAGTCTGCAGGAGGGCTCTTATTTATTGTCTCATGCTGCAGGAGATTCCTCCGTTTCAATTTACAAGAGTTCCCTTGACAAGAGCACGAGATCATCCTATAACTTACACAAGGCTCACTGTGACCTGCCTGCTGTCCCTGCCACTCTGTCCGTGCCGTGGGTGCCCCTGGATCCCAGCCTTCCTTTGCCCTACCACATCAGCCATGGCAGAGTGCCCTGCACCTTCCCACCCGCCCCCCAGGGAGGCTGGAAGCACAGGGTCAGTGTCCCATTGCTGGAAAAGCAGATTAGGAGTTTAGAAATGATTTCTTTCCATGGGGTGTATAACTGACATAGTGAGCTGTTGTCTTTGGGAGCAGAGACCCTTCGGAGTTCTGGATCCACTCCCAAGCATAAGAATGCCTTTTTCCTGGAAAATGGTTTAGGGGAGGTTCTTCTCACCCACCTTTAAACGTGACAGTGTGGAAAAAGCTTTAGGTTTGTTGTGCTCTTAACAGAGGGAAATGGAACGTTGTGTAAGATGCATCTGCACACCAGGATGGGCCTCTTGGATTGTAGGACTCAGGTTGTTAGAGTTGGCATTTTCTCTCTAATGACTACAGGAGTGAGAATGATTAGCACAACTGTAGACAGGTAAAACCAGGGGAGGTGGATTCTGCTGTTGGGAATCCATTGGGCTCTTAGTACAGTTCTCTGGGATACACTGTGGTGTTGTTTGGTTTTTTTTTTAATCTTTTTTCTCTCATCTGATGGCAAAATTCTTGCAAAATGAAGTTTTGCATCTTTAATATGACCTAATGGTACTTTTGGACAACAGAAATAATGTGGCATTTGGCTTAATGAAAAGCTTTGTAATTCATAGGCTTGCAGTACAGCTGAAATGGGCACAATATTTGCATTTATAAGGATTTTCTGATTCTGCCTCTGTCACCGGTGGTGCTTTTTGTTGATGCACTTTTTCTTCAAATGCTTTCAGGAAGGACCTTTTAACCTGGCTTCAGTTTTTTCAGTTCTACCTTCATCTCTACTTGTCTCTTTGTCTTTCCCCCAGAACTCAAAATCTTTAACTTAACTGTTTCAGCAGAAACTGGTATTTCTTTGAGGGCTAGGACACTAAAGTCTTACAAGTTTATTGGGAATAACTGGCTAGGTAGAGGAGAGGAATCCAGATTGTGCTTCCACTGTGGAGTGTAATATTTGATACCCCAAATGTCATGGAGACAAGAGGTTGTGAACAGATCAGCAACACACAGAAAACTGGCAGTTTTTACACTTCTGTGTGTGGCAAGGCACAAAAACAAGTGACTTTAGTCTTTCCTGAAGGTTTTAGTACTTCCCTCAGCCCCCTCATGCCACTCTTTGAAGGCTTTTGTCTTAACTTAGTGATTCCTGTTTTCTGCAGCTGGAGTGGGGGAGAGTCTTGGATCAGTTTGTGGTTGTTTATAATTTTAAACAAAGCTCAGGTGGGGATAACTGTTTGTCCACAGCAAAAGTCAGTGTTCCCTTGAGCCCTCCAAAGTGTGGTAGCTCAGTTGGACTCATTGCCATTGATCATCTGCCTCTCCTTTACCTTTGGAGAAAGTTTCACTGAAATTCCTGTGGCTTCCCTGACACACAGAAACTTCAGTTCTCATTGCTGTGTTGCTCCCTGTGCAGCACAACATTCATAACACAGATGCATGATACTGTTTCTCAACTAAGAGTAATAAGTTACTTTATATTAAAGGCATATATAGCGTGGAAGTACCTTAATGTAGGAGAATACATATGTCTCAGGCAGAAATATGAAATTGTGTATGGGTGGCTTCCTCCTGTTTACTGAAAATTTTATACAGCATTTATCTTCTGCATTTCTTCAGAGCAAAGTTAAATCTATGGAAATAAAATATTTTAGCTGTTTGATGTCATCTTCTGACATAGGATAAGTGCAAGTTACTATAGCTTAAAGTCACTAATACCTCATTTTTGTTGCTGTTGTTTTGAAAACAATGTAGAATTGATTATGAGAAGAATTGTCTGCCTCTAAAGAAACTTCTGATAGAAATTTTTTAGGAGTCCATGGTGCTTTGTAATTTATATTGGTGAGGTAATGATGCCTGTCATGCTTTGGAAATGCCCCGAAGATCCCACTCTAATATGTTTGAACAGCTAGTAATGACACTTTAGAAGTGAGAAAACTTCCAAGCACTGTTTTTCTTCAGCAGACCTTGACTCGTTTGTGTAAAAGCCCTGTGCTAACTATGCCTGGCTTGGCAGGCTCTGGGATGGCTCTTAGGCCCTGGTACACGTTTTAGCCACATCCTGACTCCATGTGAGGGCAAACTAGAGTCGTGCATCTGTTCCTGGTTACCTTGGGCACGTTGGGTTCTGCCAAAGGAAATCCAGGCACGAGCAGGAGGCAGGGCTGGTGAGATGTCACTGTGACAGGAAACCAGCTGGGCCTGCCCTCCAGCCCAGATGTGGCCTGGGAGTCTCTTTGGCTCTGAATGTTGTTGTATATGGTTGTGCTTACTGCACATTTGAGATGATTCATTCTGGTTTGGTGTTCTGAGTTGCTCTTTCTTTGAATTCTCTCCCCCTCTGTGTGTAGATGTCTGGGGCAAAAGGACAGTGGAACACACCCTGTGAGGGACAGCCAGGAGCTGTGGAGACAAAAGGCAAGCCAGCAAAGCCTGTGAGAAATGAAGGTGTGGCTCCAAAGAAGCTGGGGAAGAATTTCTGCAAGCAAAGAAAAATGAAGAAAAGATGGAACACTAAGTACAACAAAATGCAACTGAAGTAGGAATGGAGAAGAACAAGAGGCAACAACAAATCTGGGGCTTTCTTACATCTTCAGAGGAGGCAGAACAAGCTGGCAGGGAGATGGCTCCTTGGCTGGAGCATTTCCTAAACCTTTAACCCCTTCATACCTCAGTGGAAGTGTTTCAAGGGAAAATCCCAAATTCAGTCAGAGGAAAAAGCAAGTGGCCCCTTGGCTGGTTACAGGGGAAAAGTGTCTTCTCTCGGTCTTGGGGTTTTTGCACAACTCCATCATGAAGAATGAAGCAGTGGGTGACAATACTATGATTCCACATAACAACCAGAAATATAACTTTGCAGTTTTCTGAATTCTTCCAGAATCGCTACAGATTTTTATTCTGGCATATTTTAGAGCTACATTTTACTTTGTGTATTGTGCATAAGGAGAACAACTTCAAGATCATTATCGAGCCTTTTTGACACGTGGTGTCTCCCAGCTCTTAAATAACTTAAATGTTTTCTCTTTAGGTTGGGGTAACAAATGAGGCTTGGGGAACAAAAGCTGTGTGTATTTGAATAGCACGTGCCAGAAATTGGCACTGGGAAACACACAGCTAAACCACTACATTTTGCACAGCTAAAGAAATTAAATCTCTTTTATGCTCCCCCAGAACAATTTCCAAGAGTTGTTTGGGTTCTGGTGTGTCCAGAAATGACTGTTGCACTTCCTTACTGTGTTTCTGAATGGCTGCAGCCTGAATGTCCTGTCAGATCCCTTGGAGAGGCAGCAGTGCTTACCTGGGGTGGTGATGTTTGCCTGGAGGAACAAGTGATGGGATCAAGGCCTTAGTCATGTTCCAAAACCCTTCAGACTCTGCTGTGCATCAGCAGTTTGAGTGATGTTTGGAGCCCCTGCAGTGAGGAAAGGAGTTCCTTGCTGTCTAGGAAAAGGCCAAGCAGTGTGATGTGGTTTCCTGGAGCACGGGAGTTGTGTGGGAAATTAAAGTTGTTTGGAATGTTGGTGTTCTCTGTTGTGTTTGCAGTGGGGTTGCTGGGGAGGGAGGGTTTCTCTGTGTTGCAGCTGGTTTAGGGTATGTACTTGGAGTATTTCATCAAACAGAATCTCAACACAAACAGACCTTGAAATCGAGGCTTGAAAATTCTATTCTGATTCTGTTTTACATTTTCTGGATTTCTCCCTGTACTTCCCATTTTTAGAAGAGCTCGTGAATTCTAGAGAGCTCCAAGAATGAGTCCAATAAATTCTTTCCCATTTTTGTCTTGTAAACAACACAACTATTTTAAACTGTCTGAACCAATGTTTGTTTGCTGTTCTGGAGAGCTGTTTGGATGCATTGCTTAAACTGCTGTCACAGAAACCAGAGGCCTCAAAGGTGTTCTTCCAAGGTTTTTGTTTGGATTAAGGAAGTTACCAGCACACACATCTGATCCAGCATTCCTCTGCTCACTGTGGCTTGACATGACACGTTTGAATGTCATGAAGGTAAACACAAAGAAATTGTTCACTGGAGTTTATCTGTTACAAAATCCTGAAGGGAGGATTTTTTTTAAAATCAGGCTTAAACAGTGAATGTATATTAAAAACTGTTCTTCGTGAAATACACAGCATTTTGTGATGTGGGTTTTTCCCCAACTGTTAGATATGTTTATGGTGTTATTCAGTTTATTCTTTTTTTTTTTGCCACTGCTTCTTTTAGCTGCAGTAATAAGCTAATGACAAGCTGAACTGGGGGTTGCAAATTACAAACGGTTCTGATTCAAAACCCTAAGTGCCCTTAGTGACTCCTCATAATAGGAATATTTTAGCTGTTAGTCATTTTTCCAGATAGCTGACTCTGTGTGGAGGATTCAGAGCAGTTTTCAGTTTGTATATGTAAAAACTTTTGCCAGACTTGTATAGAATTTAGTTTCCTGATGCATCTTCATGTGTCAGAAATGGATGATCTATTTGCCCATATATCTATATGCCTAAAAGACTTGTTTTTTTCTCTTAATAGTATACTGCTATGTTACACTAGTATGTTATTAATGATAGCATATTAATTGTAGTTTCTTATCTGTTTAGAACAGGTAGAGACTCTGGAGTTTGGATACAACACGTGAGATGGTTTTTTAATTCAGTTATGTTTTGTTTGATCTCTTTTGGATTAAGTGGGACTGAAGTAATTTGCTCTGAGTTAGTGCTTTGAAAGGTTTTGTTCACGTGTCACGGGTGGAAGTACCAAAGTATACTCCATTTATAAATAAAAAATAAGTCTATTTAAAGGAGTTTCATGAGAGGAGAAGGGAAAAGGGGTAGCGTGTTTCTTTCAGGCAGTAACATCTGAAATTTGAAACAAAGAAAATGTGTCAACAAAATAACTGGTAAAAAATGTTTCAGTAAAGCCAGAAAATGTGCTGGATATGAGTAGCTGGGTCACTGGTTCTGTTTGGACTGTTCCTGAAGGGGTGGTTACCTAAAGAAGGAAGAAGGAACCGGGGGAGCCTGACTGTTGTGATGCCACCAGAGTATAAGTTCCTAAATATGACATGGGTTGTAAAGCTGTGGGAAGCAGGAAACCACAGCTGAAGGCAGAGTGAGTGGGCCTGGCTCTTACCCTCCAGGTGAGTGTTGCTCTACAGCAAAATAATCCTGATAGTTTTTATAGCCTCAACCCACTGAGTTTAGGAGAAAAAGCCCACAGATCTCACAGTCCTGTCCTGGAATTTCAATTTTCAGCTCTGTCTGGAGTGGGCTGTGTGTGTTTATGTTGCAATTTGTACGGCTTGTTTCTAAATATAGCTACTGCTTCCCAAATCTTCGTTGGCAAAGCCTAGCCATGATGATACTGCTTCTTGTCACTGTTGTAAGAGTATCTTTTCTGTCTCTTCATCTACCCACTGTACCTGCCTCTTCTGCCATGGGCTGTCATCTGCAGAGTGGGTGAAGATTGATTCTACCACGTTATCAGAGGGCAGAAAGTCCCGAGCAGGACTGGGCCCAGGGCCAGCCCTGAGAGCTCTGCCCAGGACCAACTCAACTGGTCACTCAGCTTGGAGCTGCCAACCACTGCCCTAGACAGGGGAGGAGCCCTCTGGGAACAGGGGATGAGATCTGGTTCTCCCCGTTCCGTGGTGGTTGTTAGGAGATTAAACTGATGGCTTTGTATCATGGTCAGACAGTTTGAAGTTAGTTTTGGGGGACTAGAGGCATTTTTCCCTGGCAGTTGAGGTGACTGGTTGGCATATGTGCAAACCCATGCAGCTTTTATCAGTTCTTTATGTTGGGGGGAATAACTGCAATGGGCTATTGGCTGTGAAATCTTAACTGTTCTTCTATGGTATAAGAGGGTTTTTAAATTTCATTTGCACTGTGCACTGATGAATCACTTACAGACTGCTTTCGTTCCCATCTGGGACTGGCAAAACCTCTTCACCTTTTCTGTTGGACTGCAAAAACTCTTAGGACTACAGTAGGTGCTGTCTGTGTACAGGATATTAGGAAAAGATTGACTATATTTTTTTCTCTGTCTCCTGGTGCAGCCTGGCACTGGAACACAGAGAGCTGGGACCAAGTGACCAGACATCCATTCTGTGCTGGCAGGTGGGAGATGCCAACAGCAAGGGGCTCTCCAAGCCCACGCTGGGAAGTTCAGGAGCAGCATTGAGCCATTTGAAGAGGTATTTCTTTTGCTTCTGGTTTGCTTGCCCTGTGTTTTAAATAGCACTATGTCTCCAAAAGAATATAAAAGTCAGTTCAGGTATAGTCTTTCAGAATGTTTAGTGCTGACCTCCATTTAAGCTTGCTTTTAATTCTGCCAGTGAAAGCTGGGCCATTTTCAGTCTCCTTGTCTGACTGGGTGTGTAACTTCCTCAGGTGCTTCTCTGAGAAGTTCCATAACTAAGCTCCTTCTTTCTTTGTAAGATACATCCATTCTTACAGGTGTGGGTACAGTCCTTCCCAGAAGCTTTGTTGTTGCTTGGTATGTTAAATTTCTCTGTGCTGAAGGTATGTTTGCCTTTTTGGGTTTTATTTTTTTGGTTTTGTTTTTTTTTTTTTTAATTGCTGTTAAAATGTATTTTTCTACAGAGATTCTTGAATTTTGTTTGCAGGCTCAAATTCTGTTACTCTGTGTCCACATTATTACACTAAAATGTTTTCAACCATATATTCCTGTATTATTTATCCCAAATTAAATTTCCTTCTCAATGCCAGAAAACACCTTTGATGGCCAGGTGACCATCTGTTTAAGCACACATCGTTTGAATTACACCCCACCTGTTGTAGGTGGAAGACTGTCATTGACAAAAAGCTGATTGGAGCCGTTCTGAGCCTCAGGAAGGTCTCCTGTGGGTCATCTCAAGGCTGCTCATGGCTGTTTGAAGGCAGGTTAGTCCCCACCCAACTGTGAGCCTGAGAACACACCACTGTGCTGTACCTTGGTGAGGGATTTTCTGGCTGTTTTTGTGGAACTCTACAATATGCTGGAAATTTTTAAATTGTTTGTAGAATAGTTTAGTGTCATGATTATTAATCAGTGTCAGTCCTAGTGCAGCCTTCAGGGCATTTCTCAGCATTGATACTTCTCCCCTCTGCTTTTCCAGTGAGAGAAGGAAAAAGAAAAGGCATGAAAGCCTTGTTCTTCCCCAGGACAGCATGGTAGCTTTGTATGAACTGTAACAGTAGAGGTAATACAGAAGAAACAATCTTCTTCTTATTCGAGATTAAAATCTTCCAATAAATATTAAAAGACTGCCACTTTTGTATTGCCACTTAAATATGAAGAGATTGTGACTTTAAACTCAGTATTAAAAAGAATCAGGTAACAATAACTATGGTGGGAAGGGAGGGGCTATTACAGCCCCCAGTGACACATTCTCTGATGGTTGAAGTGGAGAATAGCAGCCACATCCTTCTGTTCACTCACAGCATACTTGTACAAGGGTGCATTTCCTATCTGTGATAGCCCTAATAGAGGAAGACCATTTATTTATTTTTCCAAGGGCAATGTCCTTGTTCAGAAGAGCCAAAAGGAAAAATGTACTGATATTGTTGACCTAAGATATGTAATGCAGTGAGCCAGGGCAGCTCCCTGCAGCGTGACAGTGGGGGTTCCCATGGCAGTATTCAGAGCCAGCTTTCCCAAAGAGGTGTAAATGCATCTGGGTTTCACTGAAACTTGGTCAGAGGTACTGAGCTAAACAGCTTGTCACCTGTGCATGAGATTGCTCCGTTGTGAGGCAGCAGGAATGGGCAGGAATGTCCCCTGCCCTGCCTGTGCCCCAGGAACAAACAGGTACCACGTCAGTGCTCTCATTGCTCAGCTGCCACCAACTGAATGTGATCAGTGAAGACAGAAAAGAGCAAGCTCTACCACAGCAGTACTGTCACAGTTCTGTGAACAAAGGTAATGATCCTGACTCTTAAAAATCTAGGGGTTTAAGATAATTCTGGGGTTCGATAAACCTTGACATGCTTTCGAGTGTTTCAAAGGTGTTTCAAGGCTTTTGCTACTCAAGGACATGTAACCCAGATTCCATTTTTGTAGTTTTACCTTGCAGTGAGAGCTACAGACTCCCTGTCCATTCCCTTGCCACTGCCTTGTCCAGAGCATCCTGAATTCTTGCATCATTGTAGGCTTTTAGGAACTAATGCCTCCAGGGGGACAGCAAACCTCTCTGGGATACTCCAGTGGTGCTGATAATATTATCTAAATGCAGTCAGTCCTTTGCTGGCACTGCCTGTGTGAGCACCCTGAGAATAGTTACAGTTGTATGTTTAGGTAGGAAAGGAGCCAGTTAGTTCCTCGACAGAACAATATCAAAGATGATAAAGTGGTGCCAAATGAAGACTCTCTCCTGTCTATGCAACATGTACTCAGGGGGTTCCTGGGGAGGTCTCAGTGGTATAACTGCCCATCTCTGCACAAACAGAGTCAAAGTTTGGGCATCTCCTTACAAGGTTTTTGTGATCTCATAGTAGACTTCCAGAGTTTATACATAGGTTCATGTGCAAGTAC